TATATATATATATATATATATATATATATATATATATATATATATATATATATATATATATATATATATAAAATTAACATTTATTAAAGTTTATAATTAAATGTAATAGGTTTTAGGTTACGTTCAGCTTTCAATACTTTGGAAAGGTCATAGAATTGCTTGTTCTAAAACTTGGTGCAAAAACACACATCCCCTTTTGCTGTTGTTTTCTCAGTCTGTGTGAAAAGAAAGGAGAAGTAGGTGTAACAGTGTATCCTGTTTACCTTTTTTGGACGCATCATCATTGTCCAAGAATCTGTTCGATTTACACCAAAAAGAGGAACCTGGGGCCGGTCAAACTCGACAAAATGTGATAGAAATGACAGAAGAGGCTATGTGTCATGTGATATGTGCTGTTGTGTATTTTTATATCGTATTGTGGAACTGGGAAATTAGGACTCTATGACTTGAAAAATTAAGCTTCCATTGTGATCTGTCTTTTTCAGTGCTATAGGATTTTTATATATCTAATTTCTTAAGATTCTGAAGCACAGTGTTGTTTAGGCCATTTTTTACTTAAAAGAAATTAGCTAATTAGGTGAATTTATTCCAAATTAAATTATTGTCACACTTGGAAGAAATGAGGAAGGTAGAGAAATGTGAATAGTCTATGATGACTCGTTTTGAAATGCCTTAAATATTAATATTTAATGTTGACCTTTTAGAGGGGAAAAAAAGTTAATCTTTGATGCCAAATAATAGACTAACAACAAACACACTGTTGATTCATATGTTTATGTATTGTTTTTAAAGTCTTCTCTGTTCAGACTGCTGATATATATTTTTTAGGACATTTGCAAAACATTTCAGAACATCTGATATATTTTAAATTCCTTGGGGTGAGTGGCTTTTTTTGTCCAGTTTGCTTCCTTTTGCTAGGTTTGTTATGAGGCATTCAAAGTACAACATTACAGCTGAAGCCAACCCTCAGGGCCCCTATTTTTAAATATTTTGAAGTATTTTTTTTAAATGTGATGATCGCTTATCATACAGGAAAGAAGTGTTGAAATACGTTTGACATGCATCAAGTAAAGCATTTCTCATTTAGATTTTGCTTAATCTATTTACCTGTATTAGGAATCCCAAGCAGCACAGAGACAGATCCTCATGGAGTTCCTTAAAGAAGCAAGGAGAAACAAGAGAGAGGTACCATTCTGTAAAATATATTGAATCCTAGTCATATATAAATAGAAAAAAACATTACTGACTATTAAATGTGTAAATTTGTGATTTTTTTTTTTTTTCTTGAACAGCAACTGGATCAGCTACAGAAAGAGCTGAATTTCCTTGAAGAAGACATAAAACGGGTTGAGGTAAACGGAGCTTCTCCACAATCTATAGTCCTCATTATAGACCACCTTCCAAACTTAATAACACGAGCTGTATAATCATAGTGATATTATTTGTTTAGGAGATAAGTGGACTTTACTCCCCAATGATGGAGGCAGAGTGCACAGTTCCCAATGTTGAGGCTCCTTCTCCTGCACCCAGGTACTGGCCATGTATGGATTCTTTTCATACACGTACAGAAAACTACATTATATGACAATAGAGTTTTGGTTAGAAAATAACTGCTTATTATCAATAAATGATGGTCTTGTATGTAGTGTACTTAATTGTTTCTCTCTCTGTTTAGCAGTATCATTGAACCTCCAGATTATAACCAACCTCCAGGGTTTGGTGCAACAACCCAGGTGTGTAGCACACACACATGTTCATTAGCATTGAGCAGGGATGTTTATCAGATTTTCTGTATTTCCACCTTTACTCCTGTGTTATCTGTAACGCCTGGACTGTTCTGTTTAGGTGAAGCGACAGACCTGGTATAACAGTACCCTGGCTTCAAGAAGAAAGAGGCTAACGGCTCATTTTGAGGATCTGGAGCAGTGCTACTTCTCCAACAAGATGTCACGCTTCACAGGTACTTGCAGATTCTGCATATTGGAGCTAAGAGGTTGAATGTGGTTACTATGAGCTAGATCCATAGAGGTACTCTCATGCCTCGTATATTGCTACATTTCCAAATGACAACGCGGAATCTAAACCATGAATTAAGAAGACTTGGGGGGTCTACCGTCCTTTATTGAGAAGCAAGCTGTAAGAGAGTTTTGGTTCAACCAACAAAAAAGCTGGATTTCCTTTAAGCTGGTTTAGGTCTTGAAGCATTCCGGAGAAATTAGCTGATGTGAGCGCCCTGACTGGTGCTTAAATGCTTCGTAGGTCAATAAATGTACCTGCGTCATAAAATTTAAAGCCTTAAAATGTATACTTGAGGTTGTTTTATTAAAACAGCCAATAGATAGAAGCCAGGGCTGGAGTTGGTTCACTTGTTTCTCTATTCAGTGTAGTTCATTGACAATGTAGGGAGGAGTCTTGTTTTTAACATCACAGAAGTCAACCACTGCTTGTAATTGGTTCCAAATCTTTTGCATGTCTCCACTGTTTTCCTTCATAATTCATCCTTTGGAATGAGCTCCAAGTCTTTCTAGTCAGAAGGCCTCCTTGCCACCACCCTAATCTTTAGCTTCCTCCGCAAATTATCTGGCTTTGCCATCAAAACCATATTAACATTTAATTTAGAAGAAATGTGCTGGTCTCATATTTGAGTCGTGTTAATCTGTCCACTGTTTGATATAAATACTTTTTTAGGGCCAATGTAGTATAAGAGTCTCTCAATAGTAGAATAAGACATCAACTGACTGTTTTAAGAAATTAGTTGAACTCAATGTCAAAGATGGGCTTTTCTGCTTTATTTCATTTTTGAAAGTATAACTTGAAATCTTAAGTGTTAGACAGCCATCATGTAAAATGCACACTATAGATATAAATACAATCATATAAGTACATTATGGATAATTAAAGGCAACTTATACATGTGAGGAATATGAAGCTTGGTGTCTTTTGTCTCTTTGTAGATGAGGGCAGGAACCTGAACCAGCTGGATGATTTCATGGAGTGTTTATCTAAATTCACCCGTTACAACACTGTGCGGCCGCTGGCCACTCTCTCCTATGCCAGTGACCTCTATAACGGCTCCAGTATCGTCTCTAGGTATGGAAAACAAAAGCTCTGGTATATTTTTTTTTACCAGTGAGAATCTTAATGGCTCAATTTTTATGTTATCCTTGTTGTTCGGCAAAAACTTTAATGTTTGTTTTAATGAAGACAGAAGTTAAACTTAACAGAAGTATTTGATCATATAGAAGTGCTTCTTCGCTAACTGCATACTTTGTGTTTCAGTATTGAGTTTGACCGTGACTGTGATTATTTTGCCATCGCTGGTGTGACCAAGAAGATCAAGGTTTTTGAGTATGGAACTGTGATCCAAGATGCAGTGGACATTCACTACCCCGTCAATGAAATGACCTGCAATTCCAAAATCAGGTGAGTTTAAAACGGTGCCTCTTTGAGGAATTGTGTATCCATTTATTATTTATTTAAATGGAGCAAGATTTTGTAAATGTCTTATCAATCCAAGTGGGAATATTTATACAAAGTGCCCTTTAACTTTCCCCACCTGGTCATATTTAAGGCTGGGGTCCACTGATCTCTATTTATTCACGGGATAGCTAATTGCCTGTTGGTAGTACGGGGTTGAAGTAAAGCCACCGGCCGCCATATTGGTATTCCTAGTTAGACCGGTTGCAATGTAAACAATACGTGCGCTACAGCATCGAACAATGATGATGTCATTTTCAGGGGGTTTTAAGATAAAGGTTTTAAAATATAGATAAATTCATCACTTTGACACACACTTGTTTCATAGCATTAGTAGATTACTTAGCTTATAATAAAATAATCACTATGTACATCATATTGCATAGTCATTATAAAGTCAATGAAGTCTACAAATCATGTAATATAACATATTATACAAATCCATCACAACAAAATGAATGTGTTAATGGAACATAATAATACAGATGTTCCAAAAGTGCTAAATTGATGATGTAATTGTAATATACGGGTATTTATTACATTGTTATGGTAATTGCATCTTACATATATGTAGCTTTTTTCCGTCACTATAAAATGCAATATATTTCAGCACATGACTTTTTCAAATGAGAAATACAACAAACACTACAAAAACGACAGCATCATCCACTTAATAAACAATTACTACACTGACTTTTCACATTGAATTACTTTCAATTTACTATACTTTCTATTTTCTTGCGTTAGACACATTGGCTAATTTAGTCAATTTCTTCAAGTGAGTCCAATATAGCCAAACTAATGGTAGCCTACATAGTATACTATAGGATACATTGGCGTATATATTGATTTTCTTAATTAGTACATCCACTGACGGCAAACTTCTTGTTTTTGCAGCCAATTGCTCCACATGAAGGCATTTTGACTGCATTTTTTCGGGTAATAAGCAATACAGTGAATAAATAGAGATCATTGTTGGGTCATATTCCCTCTGGACAGCAAACCTGTCTGAGTCTTTAGTCTCACTAAGCATTTAGGACTCTGCCACCATGTTTCACAGTGTGGATGCTGCATTAGGGGGGCAACAGTAGTTTGTTTATGTTTTGTTTTTTGGCCACAAATCTCATTTTGTATGGAAGTTGGCTTGACTGATTTTGAGTTTCATCTATTGGGTTTTTTTTTTTAGTGTATGTTTTTTTTTTTTCTGTAACTCCGGACGAATGGAAAAGGGCTATTTTGAGATGGATGAAGAGACGGTCATTAAAGTTCAATGCAAACTGTTGATTCTGGTGCGTAGGACTCACAAATAAAGCATAATTTTCTGCTATAGTCTAGTTTGGAATTGGCTGGAATTTCACAACAAAAATTCAAAACCTCGCGTTAAAGACTTCTGCTTGCAAGAATCATGCCAACAACTCTTCCATAAACACTAAAGATATATTGATAATGGCTCAGTGTTTGTTGTCTTTTTATGTTTGTCTTTTTATGTCGGCAATTAACTGAACAGCTGTGTTAAAGTGACCCTCTACCTCCTTTACTGTAGCTGTATCAGCTGGAGCAGTTATCACAAAAACCTTCTGGCCAGCAGCGACTATGAGGGAACCGTCATTTTGTGGGATGGATTCACCGGCCAGCGGTCCAAAGTCTACCAGGTGCGGTTCTGCTTAGTCTTTGGAATTATAGATGTGTCAGTTTGGATCTACAGTTTCTGGCTTTTTATTTCCCCAGGAACATGAAAAAAGGTGTTGGAGTGTGGACTTTAATCTGATGGACCCAAAGCTCTTAGCCTCTGGTTCTGATGATGCTAAAGGTAAACAACAAACCGGATGACTGAAGAGAAAAAGGCGGTTAATATATATAGTCTCTGTCTAAAAGAAGAATCTCCAAATGCTGAAAATTAAATTGGCCCAGCTACTGAACCCTAGTGTTGTTTGTACCTGCTGGACATGCAGGTTCCAAGCAGAGCAGTTATACCAACAGTTAGCCAGCTACACCCTGGACAGGTCACATGTCCATCACATCGCCTAGAAATTATCAATGTTTGAATTGCAGACGACTTTTTGATACATTAAATTTCTGGAGTTTTTAAGTTTACAGCACATCAGCAATAGTAGGACAGCTTTATGGAGGTGTTGAACTTATGCTGCACCTTGCGAATACATTGTTTTGTAGAAAAAAAGTAATCGGGCTTCCAGTAAGAAATATTCCAAATAACTGTTTCGTTGATTGTGGTTTTATTCAGGGTTTTATAATGTTTTGTTTTTTCCTCTGCAGTAAAGTTGTGGTCAACCAATCTGGACAACTCCGTGGCTAGCATCGAAGCTAAAGCTAACGTGTGCTGTGTTAAGTTCAGTCCAACCTCCAGGTATCACCTGGCCTTTGGCTGTGCAGGTAAGTTATTATGTGTCTGTTGTGGATCAGATGGAAATCCACTCAGAAATGTTTGTGGTTCACGTGTTTGTAGTGTCCTGGCAAGTTTAAACTAGTTTGTCTCTCGGTTGGATGATGTATTATTTCTGTGGTGCTCACCTCCCACAACATTAATTCTTGTCTAAGAATGCTACATATTTTTTTCTGCGGTCACACTCTACGGTGGTCCTGAAAAACATTTAAAACGACCCTAAAGCAGAGTAAGAATCATAATAAATACTCAGTTATGTATCGAGAGCCTTTCCTGTTGTTAACAGTGAAAAGAAAAGCTTAAAAACAAGGACCATGGACTGCTTGACCTTACACAATCAGCAGCTATAATCTATAAGTTAAAATCAGCTTTGAGTGATGATTTCTTGTTATAATACAAGCCCACAGGGGCATTACATCATGTCTTTACAGCAGCTACATACATCATTTCCTTATTAGAACTGGACTCAAAACCTTGTTCTCTGATACTCTTTTCATAAATGAATGTTTCATTTTCTCTCCATGTTTTTCCCTGACAGATCACTGTGTGCATTACTATGATCTACGCAACACTAAGCAGCCAATCATGGTGTTTAAAGGCCACAGGAAAGCAGTGTCCTATGCCAAGTTTGTAAATGGAGAGGAGATAGTTTCTGCGTAAGTTACTCTGCAGTTATTTTCGCATAACCTGTTTTTATAAGGCTTCATTTTTCTATTTTTAACAGTTCTGTGTAAAATTAATGTTTTGCTTGAGGTTTGATATAAAAAAAAATCTTTGTCCAGAAAGTTCCTGTAAAAGAAATTCTTTCAGCAAGTTTGGATATTAGACGTTGGTTCTGCTTGTAATGTTTTTTAATTAGACCTGATTATTAATTTGCTTGCAAATGTTTATGGCTCACAGTTTGTTCTGCAATAATCTTGACCAAAATGATAGAAAAGTTTGCGATATTGCTTTTCCTACTTTTCATTTAATGATAAAAATGACACAATGTTACAATTGTTATACGAGTCTCAATTTAAACATTAATCATTTTTATTAACCAATCACACTAAACCATTTATACTGGACAGCAAATGAAGGGTACAGCAATGTATGCTCATCAATTGATTTCAAGGCATGGATGGTGAATGGAGTAATGATATGGCCAACGCATACATGTATCGGCCAATATTAGTAAAAGAAAACGATAATGTTTACATTGGTACATGTGTTAAGCATTAACAGACACCGTGCACTTAAAAAAATAAGACTTAAATACACTCCACTCGTAACCAACCCTACAAGCTTGGATCTGTTTTCCTACCATACTGACACCATAGAGCAGATTTCCTTATTCCCAGTCTTGCAGGTTTTTTTTTTATCCTGCACCTTTCAGGTGTGTCTATGTTTCCATGTTTGGATCAAATGGCTGAATTGTCTCCTAAGCATTTAGTCAAGTTCTCCAGAGTTCTGCTAATGACCTGATTAATGATTTAGGTGTGTTAAACAGAAACACATCTAACAGTTGCAGGACAACTGACTGTGGAGGAACCCTGCCATAGAGGGTCCCCCTGTGGACCACCAAATGTGTTAGATGTGGCATTCAGGCAGGATATGCACCAGAAATTCCCTCAGCACAAACACGTCGGACATTAGGCGTAAACCTGCAGTCAAAAAAGGACTGGGCTTACACTGGATCTGTTTTCTGTACCACTGAGCTCCTACCAAGAGTAAGCAGTAGAGATGTGCTGTTCCAACATTAACGTTTATATCGGTCCCAATATTAAAGTAAATTCTAGATGTATAGGGGCAGATATATTCAGTCTGTTACTGTAATGAATTTAAGTTGGGTTCAAAATCTTTTGAACGGCAGAAAAGTTTACCAATTTATGGACATCTGTGCTTGATTTTATAAATTTAGACAACTTGCACCTTTACTATAACAACCTTTCAGGTTTTAATTTGTCCTGTTAACAGGATTTACTGTTTTTATGACTTCCTTATGCTAATCTAAACTTGCCTTTTGGGATATATACAGGTGTACATTTGTACATGCCATACTTGCTTGTAAAGAAAAGTTAATGACACTTTCTTAGAAATTAGAGTAATAATTATATTAATAAGCCAAACAGAGCTCTAGTATCGAAAAGATGTTCAGATTTCAAAATTCAAGTATGTGAATCAGATCAGAAGTGAAAAAAATGTGGATTAGAGATTCCATAGTAAGTCCACTGTTTGTCCAAATGTTTCATTGTTTTTAAAAAAAAAACATTTTATATGTCCTATCTAAGCACAATATGTGTGTTGCTTTTTCAGATAAACTTGTAACCTGGCGATTCAGAGATTTTACTTTGTATTTTCCCCAAAAGGGATGCATTTAACTTTGCAATAGAGTCTCTCTTCCTGTCAGACTCATATCAATCCAGTTATGATGCCGAGAAAGTCTGACCAGGTGTCTTATCTGGTCAGAACTATGCATGCACAGCAACAGAAAATGGGGAGCGGTCTGCTCGCTCACTTTCATTTTAAACTGATGGAATTACTGCAAATTTATGCAATCAGTTTTTCTGCCAGATTAGTGCTACATCTGGTCAAGTAGATCTTGGCTTTTATAGTTAGCGGTTAGTCTCATTCCATCCATCCAGATAATAATCTAGCAATCAATCCATTAGTCTGTCTCACTGTTACTTAACCCTTTGTTTTTCTTTACTTCTTTCCTTGAATCTGTTTATATATCTGTCCTTCGATTCATTATCAGTCCTCCTAATCATCCGCCCAGCTTCCTGACCTTTATTAAAATGTGTACGAACCCTAAGCTTGAAGCTTTCTGCTGCTGGTTTCCCATCATCACTGCCCAAACAAACACTGCAACTGTACAATCTTTTTCTTGGATGAAAAAAGCCAGTAGTAAAATAAAAGATACACAATCTGAGAGGTTTAATCAGCTGCAAATTGTCTAGTTTCAACATATTTTGTTGCAATCTGCAGGTCGACAGACAGCCAGCTAAAGCTGTGGAACGTTAACAAACCTCACTGCCTGCGCTCCTTCAAGGGTCACATTAATGAGAAGAACTTTGTTGGCCTGGCGTCCAATGGAGACTATGTTGCCTGTGGTAAGCATTCACTCTGAAGCTGACCAATCACATTTAAAATCATCTGTATCTCACAACTTTGTGTTTTTTTTTTATCCATTATTAGGCAGCGAAAACAACTCTCTGTATTTGTACTACAAAGGACTTTCCAAGACACTGTTAACATTCAAGTTTGACACAGTTAAGAGTGTCCTGGACAAAGACAAGAAGGAAGATGACACCAATGAGTTTGTCAGCGCCGTCTGCTGGAGGGCCCTGTCTGATGGAGTGAGTGACTGATGGCCGTTTTTGAAATATTTCACACTGTTCCGTGGCCCTCGTAGAATTATTAAAATATCTTAGCAAAAACTTTTCTAGTATTTTGATGTTTTATTTTGTTTTTCAGGAGTCAAATGTTCTCATAGCTGCAAACAGTCAAGGAACAATCAAGGTTTGTGCTTGAAGAATTTCTCTGTTAAAGGTTTTTACATTCTTGGGGGAATTGGATGCTAGCAAGGCTTTGCTGTCCAACTTTTTTTCATAGATAAATAATAACCATGTGTAAAAAGGTCATAGTGACTTACTGGAAGCCCACAGTTGGGCAGTTACTGGATTTATTTACCCATAATTTCCAACTGCAAGTGCTGAGCAAATTAGACATGGACCACAATCTCACTGGTAGTATCTATACATGGTGTAATCATTTATCTTTCCCACTAGATCAAACAATTCACAACGGCTGAAACAAGTATTCGAATTAATTGATTATTGAAATAATTGTCAACTAATTTAGTAATCGATTAATCTTTAACTGGAGTATAGAGACTCTAAAACAGTCCTTTAACTGACGGAGCGAACCACCTAAAGCAGCAATTATACCAAAATTGTAAAATGTATATATATATATAAACATTTTGCATTTAAGATAAAAAAAAAAAAACGTTTTTTGTCTGTCAGTATGCTCTTTCCAGAACTCCTCAATTGGAAAAGTTATAGTTTGTCCTGGTTTAATTTTGTAAATGGTCTTCTGTAAGGAACATTTTGCTGTCCGATTATTAATCGAAAAAATAATCGACAGATTAATTGATCTGCAAAATAATCTTCAGTTGCAGCCCTACAATTCACAGTATTGGGCTTATCAGGTGGGAGGATAATTATTTGTTTTGGGAAATATTTTATTTTTTTGTTGGTTTTTTGTTTTGTTTTTCAAAGTAGAATAAAGTTTGAAAATAACTGTCTGGCATAAATTTTATTCAGAGTAAAATATTTCAGTTTAGGTTCAACTAGTTCACATGTTATGGATTCATAAAAGAAGTCCCATTATTTAACACCTTTAGAAAAACTCATTTTACAGAGGACAATTTTAGCTTTATTAGCCATTATCAGCCTGCCTGATGAGAGTTTTTGAAGAGTCAGCACAGTCCTTACTTCCGTCCTATAGTAGAATATAAATAATGTTGGTGTATATGAATAGATTTTGGAGTACATATGCTTTAACTAAACGTTATGGTAAAAGCAAGATGTTTCCTATTTTTATATTGCATAAGCATAGTTGAATTTTTCTTCATTTTGTACTTTTTCTCTCATAGGTACTTGAGCTCGTTTGAGAATCTGCTCGCCTCAAGCAGTCTGTGGAACTGCCGTCAGCTTTCCAGTGTCATGAAAGGACAAGATGGACGTAGGGAGATCTCAGACTGCCTGCTAAGCACCAAGGGAGCTAAAATACTTCAATGAACTGCTCTTATTTTTATTTTGGGTTTGTTCCTTTTTTTGTTGTTTCTTTTCACGGGCAGCAGGACAAACTTGGGACCAGTGCGTCAGTAAAAACAGGAGATGCCATTTTTCTGCAACACAACAAAAACTTAACTTGAGGCAAAAAGCCAAAGGAGACTTTGAAGAGAGTTGTTTTTGTTTTGTTTTTCAACACTATATTGGCTTCAGTAAAACGGTTCATTTATTGTTTTAGGTCAAATAATTTTTTTTTTTTTTTATACCAAGTATTGTTTTACAGTCGTTTTCTTTTTTTTTTTTAAAGGCCAAAGCACAAGACCGGATGACATGCAGAAATGTCCTTATATAAAGCTTTTATTACCCATCATTCTTTAACCTTCCTTTTCAACCATTTGTTTGGTTTTTGTTTGCCAAATTTGGAAAAAGCAGTTTCAATAAATAAAACTTGAATTTCATCCACGTCTATCGAAAATCACAGCCAGCTTAGTCTGATTTTAAGGCTGTGGAACTGGAATATTTATGTTTTGGCTCTATTGCTTGATGGGGGGAAAAAAAATAAAAAACCTTGCATTTTTGGTTTTAGTTCTTTTGAAGTAGCAATGGAAACTTTCTTCACGTACTGTAGGCTTAAAACGTATCACCTGAGCTGTGCGGCACTGTAACTTGAGAACAGCTGTCAATTTTTGTGGTGTGGAGATCCATTAGAACAGGTAGAGGGGATTAAAGAGGCACCACCAAGACCTGCCTATTTTATGACTGAGTGAGAGAGGTGTTTTTGTATTTGTATAACTGAATAAATTATTTCAGAACATTTTTTTCCCTTTTCTTTATGATTTCCTAAGATACTAGCTTGTGGTGAAATACTAAAACCATTTTAAACACTTTGATTCCCCTGTTGATTAAAAAAAAAAGTCCTTTGACTACTTGTAATAAAACCTACCGGTATATATACTATAACTATTAAACATTTTTGTGGTAAGGCTTGCTCACAATTTTTAAAACAAATAGCATTTTGTAGCCTATTTTACTTTAACTGGGATTTGAGAACCTCTGGACATTTGTGGCTAATGTAAGGTTAAATTATAAATAAAACAAAAGAAAACAAACTTTGAAATGGGAGACAATGACCTGAAAGGTCATTTTAAACGATACCTGACCGCAACGAACTCCTAGTCTGGTTTGTACACTTTTGAAAATGATGCAAATTCTGATTGATCTCTAAAATTCAAACTTGATTTTTTTTTTTTTAAGTTTTATTTCATCTTCCTACTATTGAGTAATGTTCTTATGAAATATGGCTACTCCTACATGAGTTAAGTCTCTGGCTTCTCCGTCCACACTGAGTTAATTCCACTAAAGAGTAGCTATTGTTGGTGGAAGTTATTTATCACCTTAAATGTATACATACATATGCACACACATTGATTACAGTAAGGTTTGATTTTACAAGTTTTACCTTGAAGAACAGAGAAAAGTATGCTGTAGGGGTTTATTTTCGATTTATGTCATTGATTTGTATTTTACTCTTTGAAATACTAGAATTTGCACATTAAGTCTGTCTGGCATCATTTCCAATGACTACTTAAGTAGCCTTTTTACGAAACACTTTTTTACTTTTACTCTATTCATTTCTTGAAATGACTGCCTAATACTCTTACTTGAGTAAAAAAACTTGGTACTTTTACTCGAGCACAGCCACCCCTGGTTGATCCTGTCCCGCTCTGACTCCATTTAAACAATTTCATCAAAAATACATTTTACATAAAACACTTAAAACTTGAATCACTATTTAGTCCAGCAGTTGTTCTAAAATGACTAGATATAAACTTAGTTCACAGGGAAAAACCTGAGTTCTGTCACAGATGAGACATCTTTTTAATTTGGCACCATATGTATGCTGGGGTGGTTGTCCCCCCACTAAATGAATAGAAATTGTGGTTTTCTGACATTCTCAAATCAAGATTAATGTCTAAAGGATGCTGCCTTTACTATGGCTCAAAATGGAAATTTAGGGTTTCCAGAAATATGTTGTACAGCCTTATAGTCATCACAGTATGTGAGGGCACAAGGCTGTGTCTCAGGTTGGTTTGCGTATGGGGTCCCACAGGGAATAGTGCTAGCACCATTCCTCTTCACCCTCTACACTGCAGACTTCTCCATCAACTTCCCACGCTGCCACCCCCTGAAGTTCTCTGACGATTCTGCAATGGTTGGCCTCATCACAGGTGGGGACGACTCAGAGTACAGACAGTGGACCCAGGAGTTGGTGGACTGCTGCCAGCAGAACCACCTCCTGATTAATGCAGGAAAAACCAAGGAACTAGTGGTGGATCTTCGCAGAAGCAGATCCATCCCACTGACACCGTTGAGAATCCAGGGAACGGACATTGAGATAGTGGACTCTTACAAGTACCTGAGTATTCACCTGAACAACAAACTGGACTGGGCTCTCTACAAGAAGGGTCAGCGCAGTCTCTTCCTGCTGAGGAGACTGAGGTCTTTTGCTACTAAAGACCTTCTATGACTCTGTTGTGGCATCAGCCATCTTCTATGGAGCTGTATGTTGGAGAAGTGTCTTATCTGTAGGTGAGAAAAAGCGACTGGATAAGCAGATCAGTAAGGCCCGCTCTGTGACTGGATGCCCTCTGGACTCAGTGCAGGAGGTTGGAAACAAAAGGATTCTACCTAAATTAACATCTCTGTTGGATAATGTCTCCAACTCCATGCATGAAGCTGTGCTGAACTGGAAATCACCTTCAATGACAGACTGCTGCACCCTAAATGCACCAGGGAGCGTTATCACTGATCCTTCCTCCCAGCTCCTGTAAGATTCAGTTTCCATCTTAGTCAGTTAAATAACATGCTGTTGTAATGCCCATAGTTGTTTATTGATTATTTATTCTCCAGATAAAAACACTGTACAATACAGTACCATGTTCTTTCATTTTATTTTATGTTATTTTTATACACTTTTCTAAGGTCCATATTGTGTGAACACTTTGGCTATAATCTTTTTCTGCTGTATCCACCACATCACACCTTTGTGAGACAGTAAAGGGATTTTCTATTCTATTCTATTCTATTCTATTCTATTCTATTCTATTCTATTCTATTCTATTCTATTCTATTCTAGATGCATTGTTGGCTTCCACCAGATTTCCTCAGTTTGTGAGTCAAACAACCCTTGGATAAGTTTCATATCCCTTCTACTTTGTTAAAGAAAAAAATAAATAAATGAAACTGGGGAACCAGGTAAAGGAAACAATCACTTGACAAACGAGATTAAGGCGAACGTATACCTTTTTTTGTTTTGTTTTTTTGCTTGATTTCGTTTTCAGGTATTTTTTGTAATCGACATGAGGACACATCATCCCGGAACCTTCGTTTCCCTCGAACAGTCGGAATGCTTTAGAGGTCGGACAACAGGCAACTAGCTAGTTAGCGGCTGTTGGAAACAAACAGAGCAAGTTTAAACGATACTTTGGCCAACCTTGACTGTGTTTTGTCGGACTCATAGCTGAACAACTCGTTTCCAGTTTCTATAGTATTCCGTGTTCATAAAGAAGCTGAAGTTTCACCAGTGAAGATGGGAGTGCCGAAATTTTACCGCTGGATTTCTGAACGCTATCCTTGTCTCAGTGAAGTTGTCAAAGAACACAAGGTAGGGGAGGTTTTAGCTATTTGCTATCAGTACTCTATGGTAAGCCGGGGAAAAAAAAGTTTTATCTACGTACTTCTGTATGTTTTCTATCTACGAAAATAGGTCTTATGTCAATTGATGGTTTATGTAAACACAATACAAACACAAGGTCATAGGCCACATTCCTTTACTAACTGTTGGCTAATCTGGTAATTTCGTCCCACTGTTTGAATTTTCAGTACAGAAAAAAAAAATGTGAAGCGGGGTAGTTCGGGTCTTTGTTGAGGAAGAACACCCGATCAACAACAACTCTGTTAAAGTGACTAGCTGAAGTATCGCGATAACAGCAGAAAACACTAAGTTTGTGTTACAAAATACTTAGGTCAGTTATAGTTTCTTATTTTTTCCACTTAATAAAGCGCTTTAGTGCATTTTTTTCCTAATCAATACTAGCTCTTGATTGTTCTTATGTTTATCTGGGATTCAGGGCAACTTTAATCACTCGAGATCATTGACCCAGGGTTATATTTCAGTTTCTGTGCTGTAGTTTCATCAGTATTGACAGTGTTAGACAACGTAAGCATTATTTGTTTCAGGAGTGGCTGGGCATAAAGAATGAAGCAGTAAAAGCCGGTGTGGAGGGTTTAGCTTTTGGTAATGGTTCTTGATGATGAACCCAGCCTTGGCCACTCCTTATGAAACTTACTTGAATGTCCCTATTTTTTCCCCCTTTTTTTTATCAAAGCATTTTCAGCTTCCTGTAAATACAGTATGTTTGTATACAGCACTTCTAAACACAGTAAACAACCAGCTTCTTTCACAATGACCTTTTCGTGGCTTAGCTTGCATTTTGAGTTGGACTAAAACATTTAATTCATTGTTAAAATAATAAGAAACTAATTTAGTAACCATTTGATTATTAACAGAAGCATAGAAACTCTTAAAACATGACTTTTTTTTCCCTGAAAAACAACTGACTCAGAACATTAATTTAGCCACAATTTTATAACAGGAGGATGTTATATAATTGGTGTCGAATCGAACTCGGAGGGTTGACAGTTTAAGCCCCAGCTCCGGCTTTCAGTGTTGTCTTGTCCTTGGGCAAGGCACTTCACTTGCATTGTCTACTGATGGTGGTCAGAGGGCCTGGTGGCACAGGTGTACAGCAGCCTTGCTTCTGTCAGTGAGCCCCAGGGCAGCTGTGGCTACAATGCAGTTTGCCACCATCAGTGTGTTTGTGTGAAAGGGCAAATGACTGAATGTAGTGTAAAGCACAGTCTCCTGACTTAAAAAAAAAAAAAAAAAAAAACACTATATAAGTACAGGCCATTTACCACTGATTACTAATCAAACGATTCTGGACATTTTGATCAACTTTAAAATTAAAGTATATACATGCTTCAGTTATTTACCTTAATGTAACTTAAAGGGGTTCTAGTAATTGTGGCAGTAGTCTTTTCATATTTCATATCAAAACAATAATCTCTAACATGAGCCTTGTCACTTGCACGAAAGGTAATATTTTTCTTTAGTAAATGTACTTTATGTCTTTGGTACCTTTCACAGGATAGAAACCTGAAAAAGAAAAAAAAAAAACCTGAGAAAGTGTTTTAAGATAAATCAAACATAAAACCATGCAGATCATAAGAACATACAGAAAAAATACAACTGCAAACATACATCTTCATACAGCATAAAATTAGTTTTTTTTTTTTTACATACTGAAAATCATCTTAAGGGTCTTTTTACAAAAAAAAAAAAGAAATCTGTTATTTAAAAAGTGAATGTATTTATTTATTTTTTCTGCCTCCAGATTCCAGAATTTGACAATCTTTATCTGGACATGAATGGCATCATCCACCAGTGTTCTCACCCAAATGACGAAGACGTCCACTTTCGTATCTCTGAAGAGAAGATTTTTGCGGATATCTTTCATTACCTGGAGGTCCTGTTTCGGATCATCAAGCCACGCAAGGTCTTCTTCATGGCTGTGGATGGTGTGGCACCAAGGGCAAAGATGAACCAACAGAGAGGGCGCAGATTCAGGTAGTGACGAATGATCTCAATGTTTGATGTTTTTTTTTTTTTTGTTTAAAAAGTTGTGTGTGTGATATAGGTATAATAGGGGTGGGGGGTGGCTTTCATCAAGATATTGATGCTACTGTGAAATTATTCTATATTTTGCTATTGTTTACCCATTAATATCCTGCTCCACTAAGAAGTACTATATACTCTCTACCTGATTACCTAACATTATGTATTTACACTTGGCTCACGCAAGTTTATATATATATGTATATTGCAATTTTTAAGAAAGTGTTTACAGCTATAGGACTGGTGTGACAAGCCTAAACAGAGAAAGACTCAAGGAATCCCACAGTGGATGCGAAGCAATACTTGCGTTAGTTCAAAACCCTGAACTTTCTCTCAGTTCAGGTCCCAATGGTTCTAATGTATTGTGAAGGAGTTTAGCAGAGACAAAGGTTTTCTTTCTTTTCAACCAAAATCGCTGACAGAAAAAAATTATATTTACATAGAATTAGGTAAGAAATGCTCTTTAGAGGTGTGTTGGTCTGTTTTAAAATCCCTGAAGCAGGATAAACGTATTTGGTCCCAGTCAGATGAAGCACTGTGGGACAAGATTATGATCCAGCCGTAGCTCCTAGACTTCCTGAACTGGGAGCATCTTAGGTGAATGTTGTCACCGTTGTTCGACGTTCCACGATAAATGACGCACTGTGTCTCGGTAGATAAAAAAACTTGGTCCACCATGTTGAGTTGTAAGCCGCAACCAGATAGAAGCTCCTCCTATCGGAGGACGCAGTGAAGTGACCAACCACACCCAAATAAGGTGGAACATTTGCTATAATCATGTTTGATGTGATTGCACCATTAGACTTTTCATACATAAAATTTGACTCTAAGATGTTTGACTTAACTCCAATTAAAGCGACATTCAAGAATGGTCACCTTTAAGGGATAGATTAAGAGGCATATTATCTGATCTAGACTTCATATAAGATGGATGGATTAGTTTTTTTTCAACCAGTTTTTAATGGATCACTTGATGTCTGCTAGTAGAACATGATCAGTCAATTGTAAGAGTCTGTCCCAAATTACATCTATAGAAACCTCTCTCTAATTTTAACAGCAGAATCTGTCATTTTCAAGGTTACTGATCTAAACATGCAATTAATACACAGGGCAAAAAAAAATGAAGCGTTATTTAGAAAGGCTGAAAATGGTCCAAAACAATTAAAACGGATCAATATATATTTTTTTAACTCATGGCTTTATGAGAAAATACATCAAAGTTAAGCAGGGATGCTGTCTCTTCTTTTTCTTACTTCAACATTTGTATTTTTGTGCTTCCAGGTCAGCCAAAGAAGCAGAGGAGAAGATTAAGAAAGCCCTGGAGAAAGGAGAGGTGCTTCCTACAGAAGCTCGCTTCGACTCCAACTGCATCACTCCTGGTAAAGTTATTTTTTTGAATACTGTGCTTTTTTTCCATTATTGAACTTACTTTTAATGCAAAAAGTCATTCTTGAACTCTTTCTGTGACACTCTTACTATTTTATTAACTACATGTTTGCGTGTGCAGGAAGAAAATCTGTTTTTCTTGTAACCGTTTTATAACCCCCGACTCTTTTTGCAGGCACTGATTTCATGGCGAGACTGCAGGAGCAGCTCAAATACTTTGTCCATAATAAGGTGTCAACTGACAAACTGTGGCAAAACGTCAAAGTCTTCTTGTCGGGTCATGAGGTGGGTTTGGGCCAGAGCGTTGACTGAATTTGCTGTTAAAACATACGGATGAGTGTCAGCTTCAATTGATGTGTTGGTTCCTAACAGACACCAGGTGAAGGAGAACACAAGATCATGGAGTTTATTCGTTCTGAGAACACCAAACCAAATCATGATCCTAACACGCGACACTGCCTGTATGGCCTAGATGCTGACCTGGTAGGCTTTAGACTTGTCTTAAAATGTTCATCCCATTTCAAACTCTTTTGAAGCTCACCTCTTTCCTCTCTCTATGTCTTCTAGATCATGTTGGGATTAACCAGTCATGAGCATAATTTCTCCCTGCTTAGAGAGGAGGTCCGTTTTGGAGGGAAAAAATCCCAGAAAAGGTTTTCTTTTCCTCTGAATTATTTTTTTGTTTGTTTGCTCCCTCTTTCTTCTGTTATAAACCCTGTTTATTTCCTTTCCTCCAGGATAACAGCTCCAGAAGAGACGACATTTCACCTGCTTCACCTGTCACTGATGAGGGAGTACATTGATTACGAGTTCTCAGCGCTGAAGGTGTGTTAAACTTAAAAAACAAAGATAGGGATATTGTCGCTTTATTAGGCCCCAAACAATGACTTTAACTGAATTATAAACCCTAAATAATGTGGATGCTCTTTAAACTTGGTCATGAAAGAACAGCCCTTTTTCCTAGAGTGAAAGAACACAGAAAAAGTATTTTATGCAGAGTTGGAAAAATAAAGTATTTACACACTCTTTTTCACTTAGTGTGATGTCTGCACTGAGGTTTTTATGCATTTTAGTTGGATTCAATAAAATGGACTTTTTTTTTTAAGTTTCTTTTTTTATCAGCAGATATAGACAGACTATCTTAGTTTTTTCAATTTAAGTTCAGGTCGGGTGGAGAGCATCTGTGAACAACCACCTTTCTCTCTTGTCTTAGATGCTTAATTATATTTTGATCTGGACTTAAACTGGTGCTTTTTAGGAATGTTTTGATGGTGGCACCACCATCTTTCACAGATGGGATGCTGTGTTTCAATTTTACACTGGAAAAACAATCTAGAAATAAGTAAAAATGTCTTAGGTGTCTTAAGTCTTAATGTCTTAAGTGTATTTACCCTTAAATTGAGTAGCTAAATGGGATAGTTTGCCACTGGAATGAGTATTTTTACTCTTAAAATAAGATAATTAGATAACAGGCACTTGAACTAAGACAATGCAGTTGTGTTTTCTTATTTTAAGTGTAAATTGATCTGTTCCATTGGCAAAATGTCTCTTTTACCTCCTGAATCCAAGAACAAATGCACTTATTTTAAGCAAAAATGACTTATCTAGATTTCGATTTTTGTCCATTGTACATACTGGCCAAAGAGCACTGTCTTTCTTCTTTAGCTTAAAGGCTATGCCTGATGTTTGCAGGAATTACACAGCTTTAAACTATTGATATTTGCTGTTTTGAAAAATGTTCCCGTTCATTATGACTTTGAATTAGCGCAAACACAGCAGTGCCACTTGCAGGTGTAAAAGCTTATTAGCAATGTATCAAAATGCGTCCCATGTCATGTATTTTCTTATTTCTGTGACTGTTTTTCAGAATCATATGGGCTCTGCTTATGACCTGGAGCGGATAATAGACGACTGGATATTAATGGGCTTTCTTGTAGGAAATGATTTCATTCCTCACCTCCCTCATCTTCACATTAATCATGATGCTTTGCCTTTGCTGTACAAAACTTACATCAGCGTACTGCCAAGTCTAGGGGGTGAGACTCACAGACACACACTCTCACATAACAGTATTACCTCATACATATTTTAGTGGATGTGCAAGACCCTGTCCTTTGGTTAAAATTTCCCCTCAAATGTGCGTAGGTTTTATTTCAGGATGTTCAACAAAATATGCTTTGTTTTTTTATGTGGAGTGTTTTACACCTATGAACTAAGATAACTTTATATTTCTAGGTTACCTGAATGAGAACGGCCATTTAAACCTCAGAAACTTTGAGAAATACATGGAGAAGCTCTCTGAGGTAAGGCGGCCTGTTGGAATATTTTCAGGGATTTAATTGGAATGAGGTAATCTCACAGAGTTTGATGCTGTTCAGCATTATGTTTTTAATTTGAATATGAATGTAATAATAATCTGATATATTCTGCTTATTAGATCACATACTGATTAGGGGTGGAACGGTTCACAAAATCCACGGTTCGGTTCGATTCACGGTTTCGTGGTCACGGTTTTCGGTTTGGTATATGTTGATTGTTACACCGAAATCCCATAAAAATATATGAAATTAATGAAAAAAAATCCCCCAAAAAATAATGGATTGTAATTATTTTAAATGATCCGCGGAAACCCTGGATCATTTCCGCATGTTTTGCTGCTTTGAATTTAATCATCTGGCGCATGCTCTCTACCATCTCCAAGGGACTCAGAGGGGAGCGGACGGGAGCCACAGTGGGGGCTGTAGGCTTTGCTTTGAGCAGCTGGTCTGGAGCTCAGCGGGGGTTGCTGACGGAGTATGAGGGATTTCGGGGTTAGCATGACATGTTGGTCGTGTTGCTGTTAGCATAAACAAAACGTGTTGCACAATGCTTGCACCCTGTTGCACTTTTATCCACAACTTTCTTTCCGCCGTCATCGTAGGTCACTCTAAATGCAAAGCGGTCCCATACAGCAGACCTATAAAGTGCTGCTGGCGCGTCTTCCAACTCCTGTTCTTTCCCACTCGCCATACCCACACAACAACTGATTTTTTTCCCTGCTACACCCAGCTACGCTGCTTCGCTTCTTCTTCTTGTTTACTACTGGTGGTTGGCTTTGGTCGCAGTACCGCCACCTTCTGCTCTGGATTGTAAACGCATCGCCTATGAGAAAAAGGAGCAGCACATGAACCGAACGAAACACACGCGAATCGAACCGAACGGTTTTCATAAATCGTCCCATCCCTAATACTGATACAAGTTTATGATTCCAACGGAGGATATATAGGATTTTTGTTATAGTGATGAGATTGTGTGACGATTTACTGATGCGGTGGTAATGGTGGCTGACAGATCAGACAATTTATTTGAGTGTTTTTCAGTTCTAAAAAAAAAAAAAGAGTCTGGGGAAAATATTTTTGTTTATTTATTTTTTATATTAAAAATGTGCTTTTCTTTATTTCTTCCTTGGGTTTTGCCTGCTTGTGACCTTTTTTTTTCTCTCTCATGTCTTTTGAATCTTCTTAGTGGTCTTTGTTGCCTCCTGGTGTATAATTAATTTTAATGTTCTTTCATCATATAATATTACTACTTCATCTTCTTTTGTTCATTATATCCTTCTGCATTCTTGCTGTTGTTCCTTTTCCTGTCTTTCCTCCCATCCTTCTGTATGACCTATCTAAATATTAATTCCTTCCCTTTACTCTTCTCAGCTTTCCATCCATTCTGCTTACCTTTCTTTCTTAGTTTTCTACACAGTAAATTACTTTCTTTCCTCATATCCTAATGCCCTTCCTTCCCTCTTTTTATCCCACTTCTCAATAACCTTCCATCCTCCTTCCTAGTCGGTATCCAACTGCCTTTCTTTTTGTGTCCTTCTTCTCTTCCATTCTGTTTTCAAGTTTTTTCTTTGTTAAATTGTTCCTTCCTTGTATCTTTGTCTCATTTCCTTCCCTCTTATTTTCCTTGTACCTGACTGTTTTATTTCTTTGAGACCAGTATTATTATTATTATTATTATTATTATTAGTTTCATCCCTTCCTTATTTCCATCTGTCCTTCCTTCCTTTTTTCTATGTATTGATAAAACACATTTGTTGGAGTTATGAGTAAGAATATATGTTTTTCTAACTCTGGTTTAAACTTTTTTAGTTTGACCGGGAGCACTTTAGTGAGGTGTTTGTGGACTTGAAGTGGTTCGAAAGTAAAGTCGGCAACAAATATCTGAACGAGTCTGCTGGCATAGCAGCCGAGGAGGAAGCCGCTAGCCGAACTGGTGCAAAGGCAGAGGTAGAAAGGCTCTATTTAAAGGGGCCAACGTTAGATCCTTGTTTTTTTTTTTTTTTTTTTGAACAAAGTTGACTTATAACTGTTGTCTCTGACACATAGAAGGACTCTTCCACCCATCTTGGCGCCCTGGCATCATCTGAAAATGTGACTGAACAAGAAAAAGGAGAACTGGCAGATGAGGAGGAGGAAGAGGATGAGATGTTTGAAACAGAGTTCAGACAATACAAACGCACATATTATATGACCAAGATGGGGGTGGATGTTGTGTCAGAGTAAGTACATAATACACTAATGACTTTAAGCATTAAGCTACTAGTTGTTGCTAAGCCTTTGAGAGACTGACTCCTTAACCCTCAGTGGGTGTTCAGCATGCAGCAGTTCTGTCCTACTTTTTCATAACATTCTGCCTGAATAATGGCAACATGTTCTATAATGTATCTGTTTCTTCTTTCCTTCTGTATGCTCTAATTAGGTAAAAGGTTCAGTTTAGTTTGTTTATATAACAAAATAAAACTTTCAAGGTTACTGCTTTTGTTATAATTTTTTTTTCTTTATTCATAAGTATAGCAGCCCACGTTAATCTAGCAGAACAAAGATGGATTTTCCATTGGGAATTCACAAAAACGTTTTCAGATACAGATTATTGTTGCTTTGGTCATGGGTTTCTGTAGCCAATAATATTCCTCCTCAGTCGGGAAACTGCAGAGATGTGTCGCTATGTCAGAAAACCCAGTTACGACCCTTTCTGAGGGAAGGAGGTTATTGGTTATGATGAATCATGGCTCCATCCATCCTGTCTCCTTTGCAGAGAAGCATCCCCAAAAGAATGATGCTTCCAACTCCATGCTTTACACTCAGTGTGCTGATCTTGGGGTTGTTCTAATTCTTCTCCTTCCAAAAGCAGGGAGTGGATTTTAGCTCATAAAGCTGTATTTAACCATATGACCTTGGTAACTTAACATTTAAATTCCCTTTGGGGTTAATACAGTATTTATGAATTCAGTTGAACTAATTGGCCAATATTTTTTCATGATTTGTTAAAAAAAAAAAAACAGCTTTGTCTACATACAGCAGTTGTTGCCATTCGCTCTGATTGAAAATCTAACAGAAGTGTGGATTTCCTCCTGAACAGACAGATTTGATGACTTGGTTACATAAGAAAAGATTTGTGACTTCACTTAAGTGGACTTCTGAAATGACTTGAAACATTTGGGAACTTCTAGCGGCCAAGGTTTAGTACACCCTGAGCAAGTTGCTGGCGGATGTAGGTTATCCTACCAGAGAGAAGTACAATTTATTGAAAAACGTTTTGGTGCTTTGTGACATTTAAACAAATACTACTTAAATTAATGACTGGAAAATTCAAACCATAGGACTTGGGCTTTACCTGGGACTCATTACTCCATATTTGTGACTCAACTTCTGCAAATTAAATCCTATACTGCGACCAAACTATAAACAGTTCAGTGGCACCAAGAACCTAGCTGACCCCCAGTTTACACTACGCAGCAGTTCTGTTCTTGTTTGAACTCTTCATTGCTGAATTTCCCTTTGGGATTAATAAAGCATTATTCAATTGAAATGAATACACTCCCATTATAATCAATGGTTGGTTTTACATAGACAGGCATAGACATAAATTGGCTTATCAGAATTAAAACATGCGTCATGTAAACAGACCATTTGGAACATTATAATTGAATTCAGCTCTTTTGGGATGGAACAAATTTTCGATTTTGAGGTTTATTTTTTCATTTGTTGTGTCCTTGGACAAGATACTTGACTGCTGGCGGTCAGAGGGCTTGGTAAGTCTTGGATAAGCAGAACATGACGAGTACCATCAGTGTGTGAATGAATGTAGTCGAAAGATCTTTGGAGTCCCATGATTTGAAAAAGTGCTAAATAAGTAAAGGCAATTTACCATTTAACACATCAGTTTTCACCTTTTTACTGACTTGGATCTGGATTTTGACTCCATTGCAGCGAGTTTCTAGCCAAGCAAGCCAAATGTTATGTGGAAGGCATCCAGTGGATTCTTCACTACTATTATCATGGAGTTCAGTCATGGAGCTGGTGAGTGCATACCTCTGGGTTTTTATTCTACAGAAATATCAAGTTTAGCTGGAATAAATAACGACTCTATTATAATAAGTATTACTACAGCATCTGCTCTCTCTCTCTATGGTATTTATAACCTAGATTTAAATCCAGATGTCTTGTTGCTAACTGTTAAGAATCATTGTGTCCTTTAGTAATTTTTGGGCAGTAGCAATAACATTACTTTAAATGTGCTCCCTTGTCCTCGTTTCGATACAAAATAAAGCTTTAAATAAAATGTGTCTATCTCTGCAGGTACTACCCTTATCACTATGCCCCGTTCCTGTCTGACATCCGAAACATTTCAGAATTAGAGCTGACCTTTGACCTGGGAAAACCCTTCATGCCTTTCCAGCAGCTATTGGCTGTCCTGCCTGCTGCCAGCAAGGAACTGCTCCCTGAAAGCTACAGGGTAACGACTCAAACCCATATGCGGCATTTATCAGCAGGATTATATGGGCAGGGTCCAGACATACAGCGGAATGATGCTCTTAGTGTTAAAATAAAAAAGAAATCAAGCAACCATTTGTTTTAAATTCATAGAGGTACAGAGTCACTGTTCTAATGCTTAGTGCTGAACATTTGGAAAAAAATGAATCTTAACTGAAACTGTTGGGGAATTGATATGGTTTTTATTTCTGCAAATTCGTGTAACTTACACTTTCTTTCCTGTTCCATTTTCTAAAAGTTTCCATGTCATCATAATCATAGAAAGTACAAACATTTTGGTATAACAAGTGTTTAGGAAATCAAGTTTTCTTAAAAGACTGACATGCAGATGCTAATTTATTTATTTATTTATTTATTTTTTTGTGGATTTCTTTAGGACTTGATGACCAGCCCAAGCTCCCCCATTATTGAATACTATCCTCCTGACTTCAAAACTGACCTGAATGGAAAGCAGCAGGAATGGGAAGCTGTGGTGCTTATTCCTTTCATAGATGAGGTGCATACACACACACACCCACAAACACACATATACAAAGTTGTTTCACTATCTTTGTGGGGCCTTTCCATTTATTTTCATTCATTTACACAGATTAATCTGGACTCTAAACCCAACCTAAACCCAATTCACAGCTTAGTCAGTCCTTTAGCAGTTCCCCTCATAGGGTCCACTCATCGGGCCCCAGAGAGAACAGTTGATCCCAAAATGTGTTATATTTTCAGAAAATTGGCCCCACAATGTATAAAAAACAAGAACACAAACACACATGTTGTCTTTTCCATTGCCTTCCATTCATTCCCACTCACTTCTATGGCCTAACCAATACCATCTCATACTGAACCTAACCTAAACTCAATTCACACCTTAGTTCTAAACCTAACCCCTGTCGCAGGAAGAGACCAATTATTGGTCCCCACAGGTAACTATAAGTCCCCTAAATGTATCATATTCCTGGGAAATCGTCCCCTGACAAAAACATGGCCACAAACACTCACATCCAGGGCCAGGATTTAACCTTATAAACTTGTTTGTTGGTAAACAGACGTGCCTTCTAGCAGCTATGGAGCCTTTCAGTGACAAGCTGACGAAGGAAGAAAAGGCCAGGAATCGGCACTCAGAGTGTGCCATGTACTCCTATGACCCCGACATGGACTTTACATACACCTCCCCCCTGCCTCAGCTGTTTCCAAACATCACTCATTGTCATGTCAGGTAGATATGCACTTTTTTCCCTTGTAATTTTTAAAAATCACCACAGTGTTGTGCCGTTTTTAGTGTTCAAATGTGTCTAATCATTGACTTTGCTCTGCTTGCTGCTGGTTCGTTGATTGTTACAGGGAAGTCCAGATCCCCATGGATGCTTGGCATGTAGCGTTAGACCACGTCAGTAAGCGTGTTGACCGCTCAGCTTTGTACTTCTGTGGTTTCCCCACTTTGCACCACATCAAACACAAGGTGGGTGGGGGTGCCTGATGGCATCCATCACACAGTTTCAAGTTGATCCAGCTCTGATTCAACCTGTTAAGTTTCACTCAGCTTTATAAGAGCCATTTCAAGTTTTCCTGTTTAGTTATTAAAACTTTTTCTTGATTTGCTGCCTGTAGTTTTATAAGAAGAAGAGTGGAGTGGTGGTGTTTCAGCAGAGTAGCAGAGGGGAGAACATGATTCTGGACATCCTTCCCAATCAAGATGGGGAAACGGTGAGCATTCCTTTGTCCTTTTAAGCCTGAGCTATGAACAGGTCATTCTAAAAACCAGCATCACAAAATTATCTGAATTTGTCACTAGTTTGATTTAAAAAGAAATAAAAGTGTAATCACAACTGACTTAAAAGCTTGGAGAACTTTAAAATTAACTAGGCTTTGTTGATAATGAACTTGAGTTTAGTGTAGTTCTTCCTGATGAAAACTGCTCTTCACATGGGAGTAAATATTGCAGAAGCTGATGATCTACAACTATTTAGTATTTTAACTTTTTTTATCCAGAAAACAGCCTCAGTGTTACTTTTTATCTACAAGAGTTTTGTTGCTTCATTCATTTCCAGACAGCTCAGGTGGGTACCCTCTCACCTCTCTGACCACTGATTTTTTATTTTTTTTTTTGTAATACACTTTTTGTACACTTACTAGGATTTCAATTCTTTCTTAAATTGAGCAGGTAATTGAGACACTTTGCCAATGGAATTGGACAATTTACATAAAAAAAAATAAAAATCTGCCGTGTCCTATTCCAAGTATCTAAATATTTAATTTTAAGGGTAAAAATACTTTTTCCACTGGCAGATCATCTTATTTCCCTTCTAAAATTAAGGGTAAAAACGGTTATTTAAAATAAAGGTTTACTGATTTGAGATGTTTTTGCAGTGTAATGGTGGATACTGTCTCTGCAGGGGCTGGTAAATGTTTTGAGTTTGGATGCAAAATTGACCTGAGTTAAACTGTAGATTGACAAAAATTAAATGTTTTTTTTTTTTTTTTCATTCATGTTGACCAATTAAAGCACTTTACAGTTGGGGTGTTCAGGTGTCGCAGTGGTTAGCACACACAACCCATGTGTAAAGGCCTTAGTCATCGACGTGGCCGACCCGGGTTCGGATCTGACCTGTGTCTTAACATATACATCACAAGCTAAAGAAGAAGTTTTAAGTCTTTAAAGAAGTTTATGAAATGTTACTTAAACATTCACCAAAATCATTCTTGCGCTCCTGTAAAGTTGGATGCAATTGTTACTGCTTCAAATTCGGTAAAGTGATTAAAGTAACGTAATTTATTTAAATATTCCAACTTTGTTCTTTTTCCTTTCGTCTCTGTCTACAGATATGTGATCATGTTGCTGCAGACGTTTTGGGGAAGTCAGTATTTGTCAACTGGCCCCATCTAGAGGAAGCACGCATTATTGCAGTATCAGATGGAGAAACTAGGTAAGGATTTTAACCACTCTGAAAATGAAATGACTTATTTTGACCTAAGGTCTATTAAGAATCACTACTATGTGCTGTTTTATGGCCACAGTGTTTTTTCTTAAGTACTTTCTAAATCGAATTCCTGTTCGACTCATCACTGTTTAATGAGGGGCTAAAAAAAAGTTGTTCCTCTATTAGGGAGAAATGAAAGATTATGGAAAAAATAGGGAATATTTGACCGCTATACTTTGACAGTTTTAGATGTTTCCCCTTGGTAGATCCTCTTCGTTTACCTTTTAATCACTGAGAAAAAGTACAAATTTGCAACCCATCTTTCAGGTTTGCTTTAGATGAACCTCCTGGGGTCCAACAAGTGTACGACCGGCCTTCCAGTCCTCCTCCTACTAAAGTTTCCTGTTTGTCTGACAAAGAGCAGAAGGAATGGGTGAAGGATGTCCAAGGAATCACTGAACAGTAAGTTACACTAAACAATTAGAAAAACAAATTCTATCCAGTGTCATAACCACTTTTTTGTTGTTGTTAACAGTTTCTTCAAGAGGAAAGGCATCGTAGTAAACGAGACAGACGTGCTTCTCTACGGTCAGATGCTGACAGGAAGAAAATATGTCCCTAAAGCCAATGGAGTGGTGGAACTGGAGAAACAGTGGGCCAAACAGGTTCTTCCTTTCGCCTTCCAGACTGTGGTTAAGGTACCTCAACACACACACACACACACACACACACACACACACACACACACACACACACACACACATTGAAATAACGTACAGATCTAAACAGAGGGAAATAGTTGACTTGGATTTTAATCCTACAATCAAATATTTTAGATATGAGCAAAACTGCAGGAAGGGAGGATGCTGTAAAGCTTGGACTATTAAACCCCTGAGAAATGTCTAGCAGGAACAATATTTATTTATCTTCATTATGTATAGAAATGTTTCCTGTTTACAATTTTTTGTTCCTAAGTCATTTAAAATGAAATTGTCTTTACAAAGGCTCAGTTTGAGATTTTATTCATAAAAAGAATCTGTCCCAGCTGTATGTTTGACATTTATATATATGATAGAGATTGGTACGGTAAGAGGCATTAATTGTATTGTATTCTTAATTTGCTCTTAAGTGGAATATGGTCATCAATAAAAAAGCTGGCATTCAAGGTGCTATAAACTGCCGGACATATAATGCAGCCTGATCCACGTCCTAATTTCATCTTCCCTTCAATTTTTAGGACATCGAGGCATTTTACTCATCTCTGTCCAGTTTTAAGAGTTTGGATGAACTCTTCCCTCCAACAACTACAGTCTTCATGGTGGGAAACCCTTACTACGGTGCCATGGGAGAGGTGAGATATTTACATCCAAAAGATCAGATTATCCATCTCGTGCTTTAAGCTCAGCTTTGTTTTAGAGCTTAGAACAATTTCTCCTCCTAAAAGTATTACTTTTTAAGCTAATAGTTTCAAATCAAACTACAAAACCCAGCTTACTTTTTTCATCTTAAAAACATAATCCTGAGCTTAGATTCAGCTAGCGTAAATACCAACAAATTAGAAATCTTAGTCATCTTTAAGTTTTAGTCTGGCTGTGTTATTAGCAGTGTACACTTTTATTGGTTTACTTTAAAGAAAGTATGCATCAGCTGTACTTTTTCATCCTTGGAAACCTAACTTTTGCTGCTAGTTGGTCAGTGTAAGCTGCTTTTACACCAGCTGCATTTGAAAATTCCATCTCAGGTCCAAGACTCTCAAGATGTCATCAAAGAGGGCCGGGTCCGGGTAGTGTTCAACGTACCTCATGAGCCACAGCTGGAACACCTGATCCACAATCAGCATGTGAGACACATAGAGACACGAGCATCTCGCTTTAATCCGGGGAATCTTCTACATCCTCATTTGTTTATGTTGAATTTTCAGAAATACTCAGTCAAGTACTGTCCAGGCTACGTCCTGGCCTCTCACCTCGGCATCAGCAGCTATCTCGTCTCTCGCTTCTCAGGAAGCATCTTCATCGGCAGAGGCTCAAAGAGGAAGTGTGTTCAATACTTTTTATTATTCAAGATGATGATAGTCTTTGTTTTGTCGCCTTTATACTAATCAGTCCTTGTAAATCTTAATGTGTCCAGTCCCTGTGGGGAGCAAAAAGCTAATGTTGGGCTGAACCTTAAGTTCAACAAGAAGAATGAGGAGGTTCCTGGGTACACCAAGAGAACCGAGAAGGAGTGGCTTTACTCTGCTGCTGTTGAGGAGCTGCTAGCTGAGTACCTGGACAGGTACACTCTTAACTTTTATTTATCTGCTGCTAAGATCAGTATGCATGTCCTTCCTGTGGTTCACTTCCACTAGTGGACAAATTAATCAAGCCAAAAATGTTTTAAGTCTGTTCATTTATTAAGAATGAAAATAATAGCCATAGCTTTCCCTGAGCTAAATTGGCAAGCAGCTGTAAAAGTGAGTTAAAGGTTGGTTTTCTTTTGAAATACCATTTTTAATTTCTTGCTTTGATACCTTTTACACTTTTCTAGATTTTCTGAAGTTTTTGATGCAGTGTCCAGAAACAGTCATGATGATGTGTTCTACGAAGACGACATCTGGCCAGGAGTGGATCAGAATGGGTAAGAACGAAGGATGCGCCTCAACCAGACAACACTTTTTATTTCCTGTCCCTACCGAGACTTTGGAGACTTTTGAAGCCAAGAGTTTAATTAAGTTAAGGCAAGATAGTGGGGCTGTAGAAAACAGCAGGTGTTTAACAGTGTTTCTATATTTCCATGCATTGTGATAAAGAGTTGGAGCAGAATAATAGATGACAAATGTATTCTTTTTCAAATGTTTAATCAGTGCAAAAAAAAAAATAAAAATTGGATCACAAAAAAAAAAAAGAATTTGGTTTCTTCACATACTATTTATATGCTGTATTCCATATTTTTGGTTTTTTTTAAATCTGTAGAAAATGATTTCGGATTTTTAAAATAGCGGTCAGAATGGAAATGGGTAATTTACTGACTATCTATGATCTATGTTTTCCAAAAAAAACCCCAAAACAATAAATTAAGATATGAACATAATGGAAACAAGAAGGGCTGAAACAATGAATGACAGTAAAGTGATCCATCAATTAGTGAAATAGTCGTACACAAGTTTGATAAATAACTGGATTATAGAGGCTTTTAAACCTGCCACTTACTGAAAATAAAACCCTTTAAAAGCAGTATAACCCTTTTGTTGCCTTGGACCCTTTTTTTTTTTGGTTTGTTAGTTATTGTAACTCAACTCTGAGGTAAAACATTTGAGGATTTTGGTTTGGATGTTCTTCACTTCACAACAGGAAGTGATGAAATCAAAGTAAACAGATATCTCCTCCTTGTTTCCTCTTTTTCTGAAGCATTTTATTTTCAAACCATTGAGAGAACATCATTGGTAACATTTCTATTCTCATTTCATTTGACATTTTTTTATTGCATGCTTTCCTTTTCAGGGCAGAGAGGGTGGCTGAAATCACCTCCTGGTTGAAAAGTCATCCGGTCAGCTCCTCCAGCAGGGCATCATGTGACCTCCAGGTTCTGGATGCTGCCATTGTGGAGAAGATTGAGGAAGCCGTGGAAAAATCCAAGGTGAAACACTCGTAATATGCCATTGTATCGTATTCTCACACATGTATGTGTCTCACAGTTTCTGCTCTTCCCTCAGGTGAAGAAAAGCACCAAGAAAGTCCGAGTGACAGTAAAGCCTCATCTTCTGTTTCGGGTTGGTGTTAGATTATAGTAGACTTTTTTAAATTGAGAAGTCCACCTTTAACCCTTTATCGTGGTGATTTAATTATTTAACTAAATTAATGAACTAAACAAATGAATAATTTTTGTGTGTAGCCCCTGGAACAGCAGCAGGGTGTGGTTCCAGATCCAGAAGCTGAGTTTCGTCTGTTTGATAGAGTCGTCAACATCAGGGAGAGCTTCACCGTCCCTCTGGGACTCAGAGGGACAATCATTGGCATTAAAGGAGGTAAAATCTTATAAATTTTATCATGGGCTTCATACAATAAAAGGGTACCGATGATCCTGCTAATTTCAAACCCGCTAATCAGTGCCGTCTTTGTTGATAGCGGAGCATGAAGCTGAGGTTCTCTATGAGGTCCTGTTTGATGAGGAATTTGCAGGAGGTCTTAACATAAGGTAAGCGTCAGTGAACATCAGGGAATTATTGGTCCTATCTGACCAGACACTGGAGCTGGAGCTGCTAATTAGTTGGTTCAAGTCTTTAAAATCCTCTTAACCAAGAGATGTGAGTAGAAAACCAGTTGATAGAGTAGGGGTCACAAGTTTATCAAATCTATGAAATAAGTCCTCAGAAGTAAATATAGTCCGGCTGTGTGAAATATATTTTTAATTTTTGACAGCAGTAGTACGGTAATAAAAACTACTGTCTCTTTTACGTAGGTGTACATCTCCTCGTGGGTACCGCCTCCCTCCCTTCGCACTCATTAACCTCTCCCACGGTACTCGATTGGACCATGGCTTCCACAAACTCACCGCTGTTGTCAAACCTCAGCCTGCTACTGGTGGCAACCTCAACTCTCATCGTCTGGGAGGCCTAAACCACTCTCCTCGTTCACCTTTTGTCCCCACGCAGGTATGAGGGGAAAGAATGCACACAATACAGCACCGTTTGTAATGATCTTTCATTACAAAATGTCACCTCTCACCTCTTTATCTGCAGCATAACAAGAATGCTGTGGCTTCCCAGGGTAACAAAACTCCATCTAAAGGCCCCAACCACAAACCAGCTAAGGTAGGTGTTACATGTTATTCATGTCCCTCAACTAGATGAAATCAGTATGAAGACTTCTGTTTCTGTCCTCTCCAGTTTAAAGACGAGTACAGTAATGTTTGGCAGTCTCTGCAGCAGAAAACGGGTCCTCCCAACAAACCTCCTGCCCATTGGCACAATAATGTAAGTTTATTGTTTTGTTTCCTTTCAGTTTCTTAGGCTACAGGATTCTAATAAACCATAGTTTCATCCTTCAAACCAGTTAAGCTTCTGATCCACAAGTTATTGGTTGACTAAATAATTATTTCTACTAAATCTGTTACCACGGGACTAATGTCCTTATAAAGAGTGTTAACAGCTAAAGAAGTTGGTTTTGTCAATTTTAGTTGATTCTTAAGTTCTGTTGTGGATCTCAAGACCCCATACTGGTTGATCAGAAACTCTTAAGTGGAATCATGAGCCCAACTTGGTCTAAAAAAAAAAACAACTAAATGCTTAAATCTGATTGAGATGCTGTAGACACATCTTAAGCTGGCTGACCATCCTCAAAAACCTTCCAGAGGACAAATAAAACAGTTCAGGAAATAAGACTGGTCCATAAACTGTATCCAAATAACAAAATCACTACTATTAATTTCAAACCCTTGATCTAAGTTGTCAGAATCAAAGGTTTGCCCCAGTTAGATATATGGTTTAGAGCAGTTATTTCCAACCGGGGGATAGCGTACCCCTAAGTGGTGGAAGGGGTACATGAAAATATTTTATTTTTTAAGTAGTAAAGTGAAATAGGGCTGGGATCTGTTTTGCTTTGTAAGGATCAATTGGAAAAAATGAAACAAGCTTTTATCAATTAAAAAGTACCTTTTTCTTAAATGATTGAGCTCACCTGCTTTGATACACATCCAAACCAAGCAGAGGAACAGACTGGAAGTAAAGGAACAGCCTGGAATCAGCTGTTTTTCACACTGGGCTATCGGGGCTCTTCAAAGCACCTCAGGTGTCTTAACAAAAACAAAGTAAAACTAAGAAAGTCCGTCTGAGTATAATTTTTGTTCTGTAATTTGTTCGAAATTCATCAAGTTTTAAATGTGATTATAGATTGTGGTTTATAATATGATTTTATTTTGTATTTATTTTGATTCCTTACTAACTTCCATGCAACATATTTATGTTTTTTTTTTTTTTTGCAATGGATAGCATAAAATGCCTCTGAATTAAATGCTCAAATAAAAGATTAAGTAAAATATTTTTTATTATTGCATATTCCAGTTTTGGACAACCATCTTTCTCATGGTAAGACAAAATGTTAAAAAAGATTATAAAACAATGGTTTAGAGGAAAGAAACATTTTACACATAAGGTCAGGGTTGATGTAGATGGCTGTATCCTCTCATAAATGAAGTCATTATTGATGATTATCTTGACGCATACAGATAGAGAGCTTCTTTAATGGCCAGCAAGCTGTAAACATAAAACATGTAAGGTCTAACGGGGGTACCGATCATATGAAAACACCTTTATCTGGACTCCACGTCAGATCCTGACAGGTCCTCTTTTGAAGCTCTGTGTCGGTTCTTGATGTATCTTAAAGCAGAAATGGATATTTCATGTTGTTTATTTGTCTTTGGTTACTTTAGTTATTTCAGCGTATTAAAGTTGAGGTTTCGCAGCTGAAGTTGAACCAAAGTCATACTCTTTACTTAGCAGGTCCCAGCTAGTGGCATCAGAGTGTTGAAGAAAAATGAAGATGTCAACTCCTTTTTCCCCCCAAAGAGCACAGCTGATAAGGTTAGAACAATAGCCTGTCTTTTTTTTGTTTTCTGTTTTTTGCTCTTTGTTTTACCCTTTATTACAAATGTTCTGTTCTAGCTGATGTCTCCTGTGTTTCCAGGGCACCACTGAATTTGAGGAACTCATTGCAAATTTAAAGATAGGCAGCCAACAAACGCCACCACCCCCTGCTCCTCCAGCAGAATCCAGCAACCAACAAGATGGTCCTTTGTCTCCACAGTCCTTTGCAATGGTAAGGCCGAGTTAAAGGTGGTGATTAGATCATTGAAATATTAAAATTAATTATATAAAACAGGCAGAATAAGTTTTTTTTTTTTTTTTTGGTGGGGCTGTTTGTAGAAGGGAACGCTAGTTCTTAAGGAGATGCTGAAGATTGATGGAGCTGGAACAGGAAGTCCCACATCCCAGGAGGCGGTAAACCCTGCTCCCCCTGCTGGCCAGCAGCAGAACAGAAGACGATCAAATAAGAAGCTAGGTTTGTAGCTGTGCATGTTTCCATGTGTGAAGTGGTTGTGTCACTCTTCTCATTGTACATTTCTTTCATCCAGCTGCTAAAATAAACAATCCACCTGGTGAGTCTGTCACATCATCCGCTCCAGCTTTAGCAGCTTCTGCCAACTCTGCTCCGAGCAGCAGGGTGTCTGAGCTGGCCTGTTTCTGCGTGGGCTTGGGCATGGCCCCTCCTGACTTCAGCTTCATTCGCAACCGACAAGTAACACCATTTGCTCTTCTTCTCCACCACTAATCGGACACTGATAAAGTTTGTCATTGTGATAACTTCTTTTTTACAACTGTTTGTCTATCTAAGGGTCCGGTAGTCTGTCAGGTGAAGCTGTCCAATGGACTAACAGTTCACGGACCGCAGTGTCAATCAGAAAATGAAGCCAAGGAGAACGCAGCCTTCTTTGCCCTCCAAAGACTGGTATTTAAAAACATTAAATGGATCTTCTTCACCTTAGAAGCTGATAATCATCAGGTTTTTGCATGTTTGAAGGAGTTAAATACTCTAATCTGCACACGTCTGCCTTTTTGTTTACATCCAGAACTCTCTAGGGTCAGGTTTTCCACTGCCTCCTCATCTGTATCCAGGAATGGCTCCGATGCAGCGCCCACCGATGGGAGCCATGCCTCAAGTCTTCAACCAGCAGGGTCAGTGTGTGGCTCTCATATATTACAGATCATAGGGTTAGAGCGAGCAGCCTTAATGCAGGTGCTAATATTTTTAGAACCAAAATCTACATTCGAAACAAATCCTATGTTTACTCAATCCACACAAACATCTATGAAAGTCAAGATTTTCACTACAGATGCAAAGATCAGAGTTATGTTATAGGCCAACGAAAAGAAGCACATAATTCAAAAAGCAATGATGTGCACAAGTGGTTAGCGGTGAGAGATGTTTTTTTCTTTTTTAATCATCTTTAATGTTTTTACACATTGAAATCTTGAAATGAAACCTTTTTGACACAATGCAAAATAATTTTCTCTCATTAGCTTTCTTTTTGTCTGACTTCAGTAGTTAATGGGATCACAATTAGCTCATCCAGTCCTGCTAAATTTATGAAACAATTTACACAAAAGCAGCCTAAGGCATAGATATTCAGTTACTGCAGCAGGTAGTTTGAAAAAAAGAGGGAAGCAATATTCAGCTGTAGCTTAGCCACGTTTTTTTTCTGGACATGTAGAAAAAAAAAAAAACCCAAAGAAACTTTCAAAACTGTGCGTTACTTTTAAGAATGCTTTTTTTCCCCTGATATATAAATGTCCCATTTCTTCAAAGATAAAAATAGTAATTTTCTCAGATTACTGCATGTTTAGTTTATTGTAGGCAAAAAAATAACAAAAAAATGCACTTTATGTATTTTATATCTTTTTGAATTGTAAATTGGACATTTTTGGCCCACATGGACAAGCGTTTAGAGTGGTTTTCAAAGTTCTTTACAATGAATCCTTGTCTATATTTTGTTTTACATTTAAGAAAAAATGGAGAACAACCATCAGCTACATTCTTATAACATCTTTTGTGGTTTATTTTGAGTTGGTTTGTCATTCAAATCCAGAAATTCTGTAAAAATGTTGGTTTTTACTTGGATTAAAAATGTACAGCAGTTTGAGGTTTGAATACAGTTGAATTGCCTTCAGATTTGATGAAATGAAGTCCATCATTTGGTTTCTTTTCCAGGTGGTTTACTGCTGCCTTCTCAGGGTTACGGCCCCCCTCCTCTTTGGGGATTGACCCTTCCTCCTCACCAACCACTCAACCAGCCGTTCTATGGAGCACCAGGAACCTTCCCAGGCGCTGCTCGTCCCCAGCCTGGTACCTCTCTACCCATTGGGTCCCACAACCAGTTCATCCCGCTACAGGTGAGCTGTCACACCTATTAATGACGGAGCTGGGAGAGGTTTCATAATTTCTTTTTAGGTGTAAATTTCATCTTCTATTCTTCAAACTCCTACAGGTGACTAAAAAACGAGCATCGGCTAACAAAAAGAACCACGAAACCAGAGAGTTTTACAGCGCCGCCCATACCGTTGCTAAGAACCAATCCCAAAAGCAGCTCCCTGCCCAGTCGCAACCTCAGAACGAATCACAGAACCAGAGCCAATCAGAGGAAGCGAAAAGCAACTCGTCCAATCCCAGCCCAGCAGTCCAACACACACATCCCCGAAAGAGCGGGCCGGCAGCAGGCCACACCCCTGGCTCCGCCTCCAAGAGGAGGCACAGGAAGTTGGCTGTTAACTTTGAGGCAGCTAAAGTAACAGAGTGAGCTGAGCTTGTCTCTGTAAAGGTGTGTGTATGTTTAGAAAAAAGTGCTAATTTTTATTTTCTTTAGCCTTGTATTTTTTTTTTATTTTTTTTTTTATTTTTTATTTTTTTTACTTTGATCGAAATCTCATTATTGTTTCTTGCAACCGTTTTAAAGAGAAAGCTGCTTCACTCTGGTGCATAAAATGGGACTTTTTATTTTTCATATCTAACCCTGACTAAATCAGTGCTGCACATCTCCCTGAGATGCCTTTTTTAAACTTAGACATGCCTAGTTTGTTTAAGGCAACAGGCAGCTGTTCAAATCTTTTATTAGGGTTTCTTGTTTTTCAATTATTGCTGAAGTAAAGTATTCCTGAAAACCAGTTCATCACACAGAATTAATCAAGCAGAATAAATTTTTTATTAAAGATTGCATAGCACAACTAAGGATGGGGGGGAAAAAATTATGGGACTGGATTTTTTTTGTTCATAAATATTCCCACCTAGCTGTAGTGAAACAGTTTTACGTTTATTGGATCAAAAAATCAAAAAGTTCTGGAGATGTTTAAACTAAAGGTGAAAGTCTAAAGGAAAAATTAGGCTGAAGTTTTCTGCTCATTAATTGATTTGTCTTTAAAATTATAAGAAAAGTCATCAAATCGGACTTGACATTTCTAATTTCATCCAAGCCCTCAGATTTCTTTTTCTTCTTCTCCCCCTCTTTAAGACTTGTGCATTTTTTTTTTTTTTTTTTTTTTTTTGCAGGGTTTGATTTTTTCCAGCCTGCTTTGACAGCACAGTGCCACAGTTTAATTATTTAATGAGTAAATATTTAAATAATTTTTAGTACAATGCAAAAATGACAAAGGACAGTAAATGAATACATATGCTCTTAATTCAAATGTATAAAAATCAATATATTGACTTATTTAAGAGTCAAATTTGTTTTAGGATTATATGTTCAAGATGTATAGAACTCTTTTAGCATTTCATTAAATGTAGTGGCATTTTAAGTAATTTACTGTTATTGATTATACCCAACATTTCCTTGTTGAACCTGCCCAGCATATCAGATTATATTGAGAGGTGCAGTAGTAGCCCCGACCTCTAAATTCAGAATAATTTTAATAATGCGTTAAAGTATCCAACTATAGAATAAAAAGCAGATGTTTATTATCAAATATTACATTTTCTTTTGTGTTATTACAGTTCATTTTAAAATTAGGCAATGTTTCACTCTAATTGACTTCATCTTTAATCGACATGTTTAAGTATTTATTTAGCTAATAAATTGTGGCACATTTAGTTGGGTCTGACTTAAATGGGCTCCAGTGAAAAGAGCAGGTTTTCTGTCCTCATCACTGTAGGAATCATGGGAGGGGACGTGGTGTCAGAAAGCTGGCATATAAATGCATCCACAGGGCCGCATGTTAAAGCGCCTCTAATCCTTCTGATTCAGGAGAAACCCAGCAAACAATCCTGGATCGTATTTCTCAGGGACGCGTATCAACGGCAGAAGCTCTCCTCGAAGCGCGGCCATGGCTATGACCTAATCCCCCCACACTTATTTTTTTTTTTTTTTTATATAGCAACCTGTTTGAATGTTTTCCGTGATTGTCGGCTTTCTCTTGCGGTTATTTCTTTTCAATGACATTTGCCTTCGATTGCGGCGGCAGAAGAGTTGATTTATGGTTCGGATTAGTGTTTTCCTTGACTAGCAGGATAGGTATTAATGGTCGTTTTGCTCTAATTGTTAACCGTATACACTTTATCATTTCCTGCTGACTAAAATAATTCTTTGTTTTTGTTATAGTAATAGCACTGCCAAATTGAAAAACTGAGTGTAAAAGAAATACGGTACAAAAAAGCAAAGCCTTTCAATTTGTCACCCAAAGTCAGCTCCTAAATTCTTTCAGATGAGTTTGCTTGTGTTGGATCTTCAGAAATACTTCACTGCCAGTTTTCAAAGTATGTTTTTCAGTTAATCTGGCCTTGCGCTGCTGCAAACAAAAACCTGTTGAACGTAATCTACTTTTTGTCTTTGACATTGTTTGTGGCCTATTATACTATGAGGTGCACCTAGGAGGATTTTATGTATTAGATAGGAAATCCTATTGTGACGTCTGAGAGGAAACTTCAAATGTGTAATTTTCCCAACTTTTCATCTGTTGATATACTTTTTTTTTTATGTTACCCCCCTAAAAAAATTTAAAATGAATATAAGATTGAGGTAAACTTGTTTTACCAATCATTTTTTGTCTTACAGAACAGGATTTTATTCTGTCTATTGTCCTATTTTCTAAACACACTGTTTTTCTGAGGTTTTAATTCCAGATCGATTTGGTGTTTATATGGAGTGAGGTGCTTTAAAACTTTAGGTGAGCAGATGTTTGATTTGAACCAGATAACAAGTCTGTTTTAAAGATTTTTGTTTTCTAAATCATGGATTTTATCAGCAGGATTTTTAGAGTCTGCATTGCGTTGGTTGGGATTAAAAACTTGTGGAATAACTTTCATCTATGTTTGTTCAGAGATGTTGGTCCACGACGTGTTTTCAGCTGTTCCCCTGTTCTCCCCCCCCATTCTGTTTTCTTTCCTTCTTTCTTGTAACCGGATATTCTAATGTCAAGCATGGGACTAACATCTTTAGGCTCTGGTGCAATAAGTGGACGTTTTACAAAACTTTTGGATATTGAAGCACATCCTTTATTTGTTTTTTGGTTTTTTTGTTTGTTTTTTTAGATCTGAAACAAAGTAGTGAATATTTGTGATTAAGATGTGCTGTACAAATCAATTTAATAAAACAAAGCTTTTGTTAAAACTTGGCTGTTTTTTTTTGTTTTTTTTATAACATTGTAACATTTTGCATCAGTTTTATGAGGAAATTAAGAGTTAATGTTTCTACTACCCTGAATCTTTTTGCAGTCTCTAAAATGATGGATTTATATTTTCCAGACCTGGAGAAGTTCAAGAAAAGGTAGTACAGAAAAATATACGTCCTGACAATATTTCCTGTCCTGGTTTGAAAATGTTATATTTCTAATTTTTCTGTTCTTAAATCCTTGCATTTTGTGATCCACCCATTTATCTTCTGCGTACTCATCCTTCAGTCTTTAAAGGTCTTTTTTAACGTCTTTAAATATCAGCTGTGCTGCTCCCATCACCATATTTGTTTATAGAGGTTGGAGTTTGGCCCGTGTTTCAGCGTAGTCCTGTTTCTCTAATTGTGACTAACTGGATGTGCTCTCTTTCATCCTGTGACATGGGAGTTTGCTCGGAGCTCCTCTGCCTGGCTGTGCGTTTCCTTGACAGGCTGCCTGTGGAACTGGTTGACAGTTGCCTTTTGTATCTCTTTTTCTGTCTCCTTGAACCCCAGTCGACCTCGGCAGATGGGCGCTCACCATGAGCCTGGTTCTGCTGGATGTTTTTTCCTGTTAAAAGGGAGTTTTTCCTCTCCACTGTCGCTGCAAGCGTGCTTGGTGTGAGGGATAATAGTCAATAAGTTGATGCAATCAACTGGTTTTCCTTAGATAGAAAACTTTGAATAGGTTTGACTGTATGATCTGGTTGAATTGTCTTTGTAAAGTGCCTTGAGATGACGTGTTGTGAATTGGCGCTATATAAATAAACTGAATTGAATTAAAGGCTTACTTTCTAGTCATCTATAGGCTGATTTTTTTGCTGGAATTGCTTTGAGTGATTGAAGAAATTACCTAAAAGGTTTAAATTTCTAATCAAATAGGGATAAATCAAGTTTTTATTCAACTTCATAATTATTCTAGCTTGAGGAAAAGTGTCAGTGTTCAGATATCATTACTATACAGCAGATTTATCTGGTTTGGGGACACAGTCCTGGAAAATTGACAAAACAAAGCTAAGTTCTGACATAGGTTGATCTAAATAAATCAAAGTATAGTTAAGAGGTTAGCTTGTTTCAATAATTCAAATCATTAAGTTATTTTACAGATTTAATAAAGAGGTTTATTTCAAGTTTTCTTATTATTAAATTTTTGCATGGACCACTATTTCATTTTTTGTTACAATTTCCTATATCTGAGCTATCCAGCAGACATTTACTGACATTCTTTTCAAGAGGGATAAGCTGCAAAATGGCCCTACTAAAGAAGCTGTTACACTATATTTAAGCATATTAATGAAAAACTGAGTGAAAGAAGATGCACAAAAAATATAAAAATGCCTTGATCTAGGTTTATGACACATTTACGTTTTTGACGGTGTTTCCAAAGAAAAAAACAAGAGCAAATGTTTAAAAAACAAGAAAAAACAGACACTTTATTTAGTGAGCACCAGTAGGTAAGTTCAAGAGAGTCAAGTTTTTGTTTAAACGCAACATAAAATCAGACAGCTGAAAAACTAACACTCAAGTTTACAGGCAGAACATTTCAATCAAAGCTTGGTGAGAGGAAGTTATCATTTAGTGCGCTTCAAACAAAAAACTACCTCTATAGTATTACAAAAAAAACACAAACAAATGAACAGTAACCAACAGTCATGGGAAGAACTTAGAATTTCTTTGTTTTCGTCAATTTCTCGTTTTAAAGGCATATTTTATTTATCTAGAAAAAGAAAACAACTCTGATTTTCCATTAATATATGTATACATATGTATATATATATATATATACATATATATTCATATATGTATGTGTGTATGTGTATGAGAACCAACTCAACGGCACAATGTGAACAGGTAATTGCTTTGTTTATCTACTGTACTTGGGCATACCACTGTATAAAGACAATCACAGTCTGGTTACTCTGGTTTCATTCCAGGTGAACTAACATGGGTTATAGTGGCCAAAGGGATCAAATATATAAAAATAAAACCTAGTTGTAAACCTAGTTGGCATATATCCGCCATAGGCATGGTCCCCCAATTGCAAGTTTAAAAAAATGTAATATATATTTTCCTCTGGCTGTAAATATTGGAAGGTTTAGCTGAGTATCCACTTTATTGCCTCACCCATAAAGATCAACACGTGTTTTAGTAAAATAGTATGTTCTACTGTCTTTCCTGTTTTGAAGAGAGGAAGGTCCCAAAAATTGAGATTGTGTCTAATTAGATCATTAGCACCAGAAATGGTGAGAAGACAGCAGCTCTCAAACACTGACTATTTTTTTTATATTTCAATCTGAGACTAGAAAAAATAGCTAATCTAGAAATGGACGGACTTGGGGAGCTGCTGTCTTCCACCAGATTTTATGTGTGGAACTAAAAACAAAAAGTGTATCTAAATGTGTTTCATGTGCCTAAATTTGTTCCCCTAAGCATATTTTCCACTTTCAACATGCCTGCATGTATAATAATCTGTGTGCTTCCTCAGGTTCTCCTTTCATGTGTGTTTCCCACATATGTGTTCTCTATACACAGCACTATGTAGCTGTTGGAGCAGGAGCGTGGGTGTTGTCCTAAAAGCCGTCCCGTCTGCAGGAGTGCAGCCTGGCCCGTCACCGCCATGTCGCCTGTCCTCCACGCCTCGCAGTAGTTGGTGGTCAGCCGGATGCCAACCGTGGTCGAGCCGTGCCACACCTGCTTCTCCGGCCTACAGGAAGTAGAGGAGGGATCAACTATCTCAAAGGAGAGCTTGCAGATTCTCCCTAAAGATATTCTTCCTCTTTAGTCTTCAGTAGGAAAGATTGAACTTGAAATCTTGACCTTTTTTTCTCTTATTTTTACAATAAAGCCAACAACGTAGTTTCCTAATTAAGACGTACTTAATTTTCTACGTTATTTACCTAGTTACTTTAATCATGATCAACAAAGCAAAACAGCAAATTTCTTTCTGAGAGTAGACAGCAAGAGAAAGATGGAGGATTGGCCATCTTGTTTAAAGATTCATTAAGTGATTTCTGGGCAATTTTATTTCTTGATCATTTGACTCTCTGGATAAATAGCCCAGTAAAAAACATGTTCTTGAATATTTAATGGCCTAAAAACCAACTTTTTCCGATCATTTTAATGACCTTTTATCTGTGATAAATGTATGTAATTACTATTATTCTAGACTTAAAAAATGACATTGGCATTTCTGTTGATAGAAGTACAATACAAACTCTGTTATAGAGCAAACGTACTCAGGGATGTATTTTGGACTGATCATCAATAAGGGTTTAAACCTTTTTAGGTCTCTCTAACTGATGTTGCCCAATCAGACCAATTGATGATTATTTTTGAAAGCATAATTTCTAGTAACTCAGCCAGAGAGACATCAAAAGAAAAGAAATTTTTAAGGAGGGCACTACTGAAACCTTTAAACAGATTTACTCATCTACCTTCCCTTACAGTTTTATTTGCCATCCTACCAGACCCTGAAAAAAATTTAATAACTTCTCTATTGAAAAAAACCCCAAATATCATAGTGGTTGTCTGTAACAGCTTCAGCTCTAGCACCACAGTTTTCTCCAACTAGAACTGATTTTGATATTTCCAAAATTTCACCCAATACATCACAACAACTTGGAAGAAATTGGAAACCTTCCGAGGTCTTCCTCCTACAATATCAATGTTTACCCACAGATTTCCTTATGAAAAGCTATGCCTGTCATTACCGGTGATTCAGCTCAAATAATAAACACATCCCTTTTGTCAGGTGTTTTTCTCCAGGCCCTAAAGACAGCAAATATCAAACAGCTTTTGAAAAAGAATAACTTGGAGAAGCTGCTACTGCAGAACATCTTAACCCTCTCCTTAATCAGTATGATGACTGAAAAAGCCTCCTTCTAATAACTAATCACCTTTATGTCTTCCAGTCAGACCTTTTTCTTAAGGTGCTCACTGTCATCGGTAGAAATGCAGATTGTGGAAGAACCACAGTGCTGGTATTATTGGACCTTAGTGCTGCATTAAATACTTTATCACTCTGTTTTATTAGAGCACCTGGAAAACTAGCACACCACTGGACTGGTTTAAATCTTTCTTAAAGGACAGGGACTTTTTCTTTGCTTAGAAGGTAACTTTACATCAAAGACCATAAAAATCATGAGCATTTCCCAAAGGCCTAAATTAGGAACCCTCCTAATCGATATCTAGATGCTCCCCCCAATTTAAAATATAATAAACAACATTATTAGTTTAGATTTTTATGCAGATGACACACATTGTTGAGCTGAATTCATGCCCCGCCTTCCTCTGAGTATAGGGAAGAGTGTCTCCCTGGAGATAGACTCCAGGTGAAGATAAGATGTTAACTCAGTGGGCAGCAATGAGCACTATGAGGGTGCCTGGGTGAATGCACTGCAAGAAAGTTTGTTCCAAAGAGAAGGAGCCAGTGTGTCAGAAATTGTTTGAATATTCAGATTAAAATGTTAAAATATTATTTAAAAAAAAGAAAAAAAAAAAGTAATTTTTTAAAATGTAATTGAGAAAGTAAATCAATTCTATAATGTAAAAATGTATCACTTAATAATGCTTTGAATATGTTTGATTTTGGGTTTAAATCTTATATTTTCTTCAGGGAATAATTTGGTTATTTGAAGGATGTTAATCATTGTTTCTCTGTGTTTATATTTAAAGGTTTTTCAACCTACTACTACTATTATCAATGCTACTGTGGTTGATTAAACTTTCAAATAAAAAAGAAAAACGGAAAGAATTAACTTTGTTGTTCTGAGTGAAATCCTGTGAAATCTCTGGAAGCAAGCTGCCTTTTCAAGTGGGGGAAACCTGCAGTTTCAGGCCCCGTCCACACGAAGTCAAAACGAACACGAAACGCTGATTTTTTCCAAAACGTTTGCCGTAAAGACGGAGACGTAAAATAAATGTGAGCGTCCACACGAATGCATGAAAACGCTGCAAAATGTATGCCAGGCCTGTAAGTGGCGCTGTGGTGCCAAAGCAAAAATAAACGACGAATTTTTGGGCTTGGCACTAATATTTATACATGGTTGCCCTGCGGGTCCATTTTCGTGGTTAAGTGAAATTCAGGTGCTGAACTATGTCGTCGATATTGCTCTGTTCTTCCTGGAGATATTCCAGAAGAAGAAGATTCTGTTGTAAGCCCGACAGCAGGGTGAGTAGCATTAGCAACGGCGCCATTGTTGTTGTGATACTGGTCGCGCATGCGTGTGTAGAGGCGACGCTATGACGCATGCGTGTAAAAAAAAATATGCGGTTAGGGCGTAAAGATGGAAACGCGAAAACGGCGTTTCAGAATCTTCCCACTCTGAAGGCTGAATAAAAAAATGATCGTTTACAGACCCCCGAAACGCCGGCTTCGTGTGGATGAGAGGCTGGTTTGGTGAAAAATTTGTGCGTTTGTGGACGGGGCCTCAATCCCAAACAAAAAAGTGTGAACCACTTGACACACACATGTTATGTCACCAGCCATTCAAACAATGGCTAAATGCATTGTACATTTTTCTCTTAGTTAAATCAATACAAAACCAAAGCAATAAATGTGTGTGATGAATTATTGGCTTTTTGCTTCAACATTTGAGTTGTAGTAGTGTTGCTCTGAAATAACGATACATATCTGGGGTTTGCCTGCAGTGTGATGCAAATTCCCTGGCATGGTAGAAATGAATCCATTACATACCTATAGTTACTGTGTTAAATGTTAAGGAAGGTGTGGTGGCAGGATTATTCTTTAATGGAAAGTAGAGGCTGGTCAAGGAATATTTTTAAATCTGCTCTTAAGTCCCAACTCTATTTGGTATTTGAGCTGGTGATTTAACTTTTTCTAGTTAGTGGTGTGTTTGATGTTGCTACTTAGATTATTTGACAATTTTTTTTAAATCTTATTTTCCTCAGAATTTGAATGCCTTTGTTTAAATTAATTATGCATTCTTTGGTCAGTGCTTTCTGCTTATGAAGTCCTTTATAAATAAAGTTGGCTTTAATACAATAATTAAAATTGAAAGTATAAGTTTGTTCTCACTTAGGTGCCTCAGCTAAATATCCAGGAATTATGGTGATTAGGATGGAACAATATTCTCTTTAATCACCCGCAAAAGTAGCACCTCGCATGTTCACTTTTAAGACTTTTTAAAAGCAGGATTTTGCTTGCTGCTAATATCAACTCACCACGCAGGATCGGTCATTATATTGCGTCCATCAAAAGAATAGATAGGTGTTGATGGGTTAAACACTCCTCCATTCCCAGAGAAGATGGAGTTCCAGCTTGTAAATAATACTTCACCCTGACAGCAGTGGACAAAAACAAAGTTAACTGATACATTCTTTTAAAATGCAATTAATGATTTCACTCAAATTAAATCCATTAATAAAAAAACAAAAACAAAATAAAACAAATACAAGGGATAAGAAATCTTACTGTGAAAGGCTGAACTAGAGAAAAAAGTAGAATAGAAGGATTTTCTTACTCTCAAATTAACCACAGGAAGGTCATTGCGGTCAGCTTTCTTTACAATTGTTGCCAAGTCCTGGAGGTGTGAGGAGAGGAAAGCCCTGTAGGTAGAGGTAAGTCCCCTGGAGCGTGCTTGCTGGTGGCACTGGAAGTCTGCACCACGGATGCCACGCATGTCCCCTTTGAGAGGCGCGTTCAGGGCCACTAAATGGAGCTGAACTCAGACAAGAAAGTAAAGCAGATGAAAAATAAACAGTAGGAGATGTAAAGGCAGAAGCAACTCAATGTGGCTGAAGTGGAGCAAAGTACCAAACAGTTGGTTCATAGTGAGAGACTCAGATGCATACACATAGAACGTGCATGAGTGTGTTATACTTACTCCAGGTATGGCCTCAAAGGTCTGTGGCAAAATGTAGCTGGGTTGATATCCCCTACTCCCCTCCTGTAATTCCTAATCAAAGAAATTCATGCAAGATGATTCAAAAAGATAGTTGGTTTATAGATAGTCAGTGGTGTCAAAAGTTCACACATTTGTTACTTCAGTAGAAGTATAGATACTGCAGTTTAAAAACACTCTGGTAAAAGTTGAAGTATCAACTTGACCTCTTTACTCAAGTAAAAGTAAAAAAGTATGTGCTCCAAAAACTACTTAAAGTATAAAAGTAAAAAGTAACCTTTAAAAAAAACAGCCAGATGCCACCATATGAATTAAAGGCTTAATTTTTCGACTATTTCGAAAAAATTCTTTGAGATAGGGCCAAGGATGAGGGAGGTCTTGTTGGTCTCCCGATACGCTCTCGCCTGTTTCCGACCTTTCAGACATTTCAACATCTTTTTCTGAATCCAACATTGTAGCACGGCATAGACAATTCATGTTTGCAGTTTAAAGAACACCTGCTTGCTTGTGATGATTTCCTTTAGTTTACCAATGAGTGTTTGCATTATATAACTCATCCAATTACACTAGTTTTCACTAGATGTGGATGGCGCCAATGATCTGCATTGGATGGCACACATGACGGGAAATAAATATTTATAAACATTAAACCGAAGCCAATATTAACGAGTAACATTTGTTTTAAAAATGTAAGGAATAGAAAAAGCAGATACTTCTGTGGAAATGTAATGAGTAGAAGTCAGAAATAGGAAGAAAAATAAGTAATATACTAAAGTATAGATACCTAAAAAGTTTACTTAAGAACAGTAATGAAGTATTTGCACTTTGTTACTTGACACTTCTGGATAGAGTATGACTGTTTATGTCTTTGCTTAGACTTAGACAACTTTTATTGTCATTTTCAATACACAGAGTGTATACAAAATGAAATTTTGTTTTGTACAGCTTTCATGACATTTCCGTTTCTTAAAGTGCACAGAAATAAAATTTAAACATTGTGGGAGAAACAACATGTTGCAAAAAGGCATTGATATGGCAGATAAGAGCATTAATATTTATGCTGCAGATTTAAAGTTTTCTCAACAGTTCAGCTGTCTGATGGCAGTGGGGAAGAAGCTGTTTCGTTACCTATTTAAAACCTTTTCTGGTATATTTACTACCCTACCGAGGACCAAGAGGCCTAATGGAAAACAAAGTCTGGTCATAATATAGCAGGCCCCTGTTTTTTTTATGATATTGAGTAGATGTAGAGGTATTGTAAGAATTAGCTTTAGGATAAAGTTAGGAATACACTGGTAATGGTTAGAGTAATAGTAAATAGCAGAAACTAAAATGAATACCTGTCAAGATAAAGTCCTAGAAATACAAACATTTGCATGTATGTTTGCACAAACCTGGCTGTGAACTCCTTGCAGTCTGCTCCAATCTCCTGCTCTGCTCAGAGCTTGCGATGCTTCTGGTGAAGAAGCTTCCTTAGGGATCAGCTCCCCCAGCTAAGAAAAAAAAGCAGGTGAAACAATGTAAGTTATTTATTTGATATATAGACATTTTTACAGTTGCCATATGTGACAATTTTTGTATAATTCTAATAAAATCACAGATATACTTTCATGCCCACAGGTAAAGTCAGTTGAAATACATCACATAAGTGAAAGTAAATGCTGACAGAAACATTGATGGCACAGTGTCTAATCAACGACTATAGTATGTTTGCACATTGCTTCTATGCCAACCACAATCTACAATATCAGGAGTTTTTAAAACCAAAACAATTTAGTCCAAAACTAGGAAGAGAAATACATGAGATTCTTATGCAGATTTTCTCTGCATTGAGGTTCCTTATTTTGTGAAGCATCTCCACAGGACTTAATTAGAAAAATACTTGATTAATCCCAAAAGGAAATCAAATGTTGAAGCAACTCGTTAGCCCTTTTCAGTTAGTTCTTATAGATGTGGATAACTGTATTCAGGAAGGATCTTCTGCAGAGGTCTGATCTGTAGAAGTCTTTGCTTGAAGACAACCTTGGTGTTTGATTTGTCTTTTGAAGATGATAACCATTGTTGTCCATCATTTTCTTCATTTTACAAATGTTTTTTTTTTCTTGTGAAAATATCTCCAGAGGTTCTAGATGGGTTCCTAGAACAGAGCCGATCTTCATGTTGCTGCATATATGTTTTGTGATGGGGATGGTCTATTCAGGATGATGTGCTTTTTACATAGAGACCAAAAAGTTTATTCTAGTACTTCTAAGTTTTACAAATTTTTGGATGTGTTTGCATTTCCCCCTGCATGGCTTTTGTAATCTGATAGCTGCATTTCTCCAAGCATCACTCTGACAAGCCAGTCAATACCCACTGCACAGATATGAGTATAACATAAAGAAATGTAAATCGGAAACTGACAAACATAGTACCAACCGGTATTTTGCGCCACCCGTTGCGTGCTCGGACGTATAGCTCTCCTCCCTTCTGTGAGACGTATGCCAATGTTCCCTCAGCTGCTCGCTGCGTCTCTCTGGTGAGAGCTTGGACTGTCTTGAAAGTCATCACCTGATCACACCCCATCACAATATCAGTGCTGGCACTTTGTGACACTTTGGTGGATCATCTACCGATTGTACAGCTGAACTTGGAGTGCTTATCTTACCGGGTTTGCATAACCTGGGGATCCTGGTGGACCGGGAGGACCAGGAGGACCAGGGACAGTGACATCTAAGGACAAGACATGCGTTAGAAGAATAGATATACCTTTCATTGTCCTACAGTGGAGAAGCAGTGAGGCAATAATGAAAACATACAGGTACACCAAATATATAATATGGAAAATAACAAAAATCACTGTGGACTTAAAAAAACTTGGAAACTTGGATTAAATGAAACATGTTTAAGATAAACAATAAAACAACAGTCCATTTAGAGAAAAAAAATCAAAGTATAAATGTAGAACGAACACCTGGACCTTATAAAACTGTAAAATAGACGGGAAAACTAAAAATAAAGACATTGATTACTTCTGAGCAGATAAACACTGTCAAATAAGAGTTGAGCTGCAAACATGTTTTGGGTCTTTTGGGAGCAAAAAAAATCTAAAAGTTCTAATAGCAGCAGGGAGGAAGGATATGCAATAGTGTTACTTTTTGCACCTAAGGAACCGTAGTCTTTCACTGAGTGACCTCTCCAGTTCTGTAAGTGCTTTAGATATGAGGTGGCAAGCATTGTCAAATGGTCATATATATTTTCTTACAGTTTTACAAAAGCTTTACAATTTACATAGCCTAAACAGTTTGTTAGCTAAGGGCAACCCAATTCTAATTATTTGTTTTTTCTCAAAAAAAGTTACCTAATCCATAAGGAGGGGCCGGTCCAGGTGGCCCAGCTGGGCCAGGCGGGCCTCGGGGTCCAGGTCTTCCAAGCCCAGGAGGTCCAGGTTGACCGGGAGAACCTGCTGGACCTGGGGGGCCCACAATGGACTCCCCCTTTGGACCCTGGAGACACAAATAATGTTTTTTTTTTTAACTGGTATTTCCTCTGAGCTAGCAAAACTCATGTTTAATAATGTTTAATAACATTTGAGGTTTAATAAGCAGCAGCTTTGACATACAGCCTGATTAGGATTAAAATTAGTCTTCGTAGTCTTCAAGATATAGAGATGAAGGGAAGAATTTTCTAATCTTAACTGTATGAAGAAACATTCCTGTCGCTAAAGCTTGATATAAAATAACAAGAATAACAAACTTTTGTATCATTGGCTCATCATTATCTCTCATATATTCTGACAGGTGTCTTTTGTATTTCTTGTAGAATAACCGTTTGACATTAAAACACAACAGAACTTCATTGAATTTAGCTGAATTTATTTTCTGAAACCAGCTGAACTCACCACAAGCCCAGATTTTCCTGGGAATCCTGGAGGACCAGGCAGACCTTCGTCGCCCTTTTCTCCTTTTTCCCCTTTGGATCCATGATCTCCTTTAGCTCCCTGAGTTATCAACCACAGAAATGTCCAATCAGCTAAGATCGATCAATCGACTTCATCTTTTTCTATCATAGTCCAACATTTAAAAAAAACAGAACTCATAAATTATGTTTGAGTCTAATTTAAAACAATCATGTGTTTGACAGCCTATCAAGAATATGATCTTTGGATGACTTTTATAAGTGATTCTATCTTATGCAGACATAAAGTGCAAAGCTAATTTTCACTCACCACTATTCCATCTGGTAGTGCAGGGGCTGGGGGGTGATCATGGTTGGTTAAAGCATAAATAACAATAAACACACAAGGTAAAGAGACTTTAATGAAGATGCTGTTGTTGAGTGTAGTTTCAGTAAAGTAATCAGCGAAGAAACAATTCTTACCAAGTGTTCCTGGCTCACCAGGCATCCCTTCATCTCCTTTGTCTCCTTTAGGTCCCACTGAGTCTCTCTTTGTCAATGAGTCCTACACACATATAGATGCAGATTAATAACCCGACTGCTTAAATTGATCAGATGTTTAGAGCATGGCTGAACATCTTTTAATTCAGCAAAATTGGATGCAATGGATTCATGCTCAGTTACTGAGGTTATCCTGCAGGGATAAAGTAGGAAGCTTTAAAATACAGATCTGGGTAAATTCACTTATGTGGAGTTAGATCTGCTTCTGCTTATTCTCAGAAAACACAGATTACAACAGCTTGTTCTCAGAGACCTTCTGAGGGGCTTCAGATTCAAACTTGACTTTTAATCACTTTACTCATTGAACACAACAGCCTAATAATTCACATCATTAACAGCTACTAACAGGGCTGTTAATTTTCAGGTTTATAGCAGAAATCACTTATGGCTGTATGTTTGGCCCAATATCTTTTATAAGAAATCCTCTTCTGTAATGCTGAACAGTTAAACAAATCAAACGCAGCACCAGAAAGAAACATGAATTATCTGTACTACAGTGTGTAGCTTGAACATGGAGGTCCATCACTTTAAGAACAATCCAAAAGATTTTTATACTTCTACCTATATTTAGCAGAGCAGAATGTCTTATCATTTTTTTCAGTGGCTGATTAAAAAAGTGAAGGTAAACCAGCTCTGATTAACATAAAACTTTTCCTTCTTTCCAACTCACTGAGTTTCACTTAAGCTAATTAACAGCAAATTGGATCCTTGAGCTTATGAGGAGGAAAAGAGTAGATAAGCTAAATATTAATCCACATGCCCCTTTAAACACCATGCATTAACATTTGTCTTTGATACTTGCATTAAACTCAACTTTCTACTCATGTAGAACTTGGTCTTTTGATTATTTGTTGTATTAAAATAAAAAATATTAATATTTTCATGCAACATTTTAAGTAATCTGGACAAGACAAATGTTAAAGCCTGATGTAATTACATCATATCCACCGTTAGGTTGCCTTATCAGACATTGTTAAGATAAGAGGAGGGGTAGATTAAGGGAGGGAAGGATGCACCAGGGAGGTTTCATGCTTTGGAAAACCCACACACCACCAGAACCACCAGATGGTCCCGTTTCCAACTAAAGGGAACCATTCAGATGTTCCAGCTCAGACTTACTCGACCCAGTTTGCAGTGCGGTCTGGGGCGCACCGGGAACACTGTCTTTTGGGTTTAAAGAAGAGCAGCATGAGCAGACTGTCATTTCAGCAAATCATTTGATGAGAGTTTTTGAAAGCAGAGTTTTACAGTTTTTGAAATCTGTGAAATATTAAGTTAACATGTGCTAACCTAGAATTACAGTAAAAGATCATAGACTGAATGTCATCAAACCTAAAACCTGCTTGAAAATGATAAAGGACAAAATCTCAGAGCAAAAGTTAACGTTTTACTAAAATAGTTACTTCTTACACTAAAAAATGTATTCAAAATTCATTTAAGTCAAGAAAAACTGAAAGAAAAAATTAGATTGGTAGATAAAAATAATTAACTTTTGATAGCTGGGAAATCACTATTACTTGCACCCCTTAATATATGACAGACTGATAGGAACATTTTTTAAATTTAAACTTTGCAATAGTTTAGAACAGACATTTAAACAAGCAATGATTGACTTACTGTTTCTGTAAGTTTAAGTATACAGTACTGACTGCAAGTATTTGCCTTTTCACATAATTATTTTGTTTTTCCTTTTTTTGTGAAACATAAATATCCAGATAAATAAAACTAATTTCTAATAGCCTGAGTAGGTATAAAGTGCAATAATCTATACACTAGATTCTTTTTCAGGGAATAAGTGTTTGCCAATCTATATTAGTCTGAAAATAAACAAGCTACTTGCTCAAATTTCCCTTGCCACTACCCACTGTAAGCAGGATGGCGAGGCAGGTAAATCTACAAAGCTAGTATAACTACCGTACTACAGAGTTTCATAAATATTTTTTTCTAGCGCTGTTAATGATTGTGACAGTTACATTAATATAATATTGATTAAAACACTAGGAGACCCAAACAGGGTTAAAAGAATAAACAAGTGAAAAATTAGGACAAATGTAATTTTTCAAATTTTACTGAGTGCAAACAAAGTAACATATTTCAGTTGTAAGTAGTGGAATTATAAAGCTTTTATATTGCCATGATAATTTTATACTCACTCCATTGAGTCCGAGAATTCTTCCAGGCAGACCTGGAGGACCTGGAGGACCTGGAGGCCCCTGAAAAACAGAAATGGGGTTAATGTATATGTATAAATATATGTATTATTGTATAAAATATGTATAAATATATGTATTAATCAAATTAAAGTCAATAAAAATAAGATGCTGATCTCTGCACATGGTAGTGTAAGTCCGTGGAAAAAATGGACATTGGCTGCACATGGTTTTTATGATAAGAATATAACAAGGATCCCCTTTGATCTCTTTTAAAGTAAAACCACTTCATAAACCTACAAACTCTTTTAGTTGGCAAAAACATGATACACTCTACACTCTAAAAAGTTAGAATTGAACAGAATATTCTTTTATTTGTCCCAATTATCTCAGCGCAATCGGAGGCAAGTGTCAGGCAGATACACCCAAATATTGCTGATAATAGCAATAGTACTAATGACAGTAATAATAAAGTAGATTGTATTTCCAGTGATTACCCCATTATAAACAGGGGAAGGTTACTGTTTCTCCAAAATTTATCTACATCGTATAGGGCCTTATGGGGGCCATAGCTCACCATTAACTGGGTATAGTCCCAGTTTGTAACCTCTGATGTAAAACAGTGACTGTCTCAACATTACCTTGATCAGCAGCTGCTGAATAAGGATGGTTTTTCCTCCAGTACGGCATCAGACTTATGTTACCCCTTCTGGCCAATGTCTATCTTGGATTGTCTGGTCTTGATATTCTGCCTGAGTGACCCTGAATGTTTGGATCCTCCTTTACATTGGATTAGACCTCACCATTGCCTGCCTGACTTGCAGTAAGATGCACCAGTACATATAATCTTTATTGTGTGAGAGCTGCTCAATCTTGATGTCCATTCATACTTGAAGTGTGTCACATGTGTATGGCTTTGGGGTACAGCTTTGGTTTGACTTGGGATAATGTGAAGTTAGGAATATACTGGTTATAGTTTAGGTTAAGATAAATGATAAGATTAGAGACAAAAAGAATTACTGAACTGAATGGAATTCAATAAAAGCCATAAAACAGGTAGAAATACCAACTTTTTGGTGCATGTGTTTTTTTTTTGGTTTAAAGGTGATAAGGTGACGAAAGGGTTGGTTCCATTGTTTTTTTTATATTCTTCATAATGGCAAAGTTTGCCTACAAAAACATGCCCAGCTTTACCTTCACCTAACATAAACATTGTCAATTAATCTGATTTGATGCCTTAAATCAATAATATTAAATCTGTGATTTAAAAATACCTAAAAGCACTTTTTTTTTACCAGTGATTTAACCATACATTATGTCTCTCCTTACCGGCAGGCCAACAGACTCTCCTCGGTCACCTTTTCTCCCTTGCATACCAGGTCGTCCCTACAATAAGTGAAAGAAGCTTTTACACAATGAGTCTAAAACATGTAGAAAATAGCAGTTTACACAGAGCTGCATTTATTTGATCACATTATGTACTGCATTGTCAGCTGGTATAGTGTGTCATTAGATGGAACTACTTACTGGGCGTCCAGGGAAGCCGTATTCCCCTTTTTGACCAGGAGGTCCAATTGGTCCCTGGAACAAACAAAGTTTCTTAAACAACTTCATCATCAACCTTCCAAAAAGCCATTAAGAGCCTAACACCAGTATATTAATTGCTTCTACTTGATATTTCTGTAAAGTTACCACAAATCCAGGAGATCCTGGCAAACCACGGTCCCCCTGCAAACAAAGCAGCACAAATGGAAAAATGTTAGAGTAAAACAATAATTAATAATTTATACATATATCTTGTTGATATTAATAATATTCTGGTATCCAGAATATATTAGCTTTTTGTTTCTGTTTTACAAATTTTCTGAAATTAATGTTTAATGATTATATGCAGTCAACAAGCTGATCAGAATTTATATGTTATGTTTATTTCAGTTAAGTCTCTTTATTTTGTAAAATTATGATAACAAAAAGTAACAGCAGTGGGCTGCAAAGTGCTGCAGTAATTAGCACTGCTGCCTCTCAGCAAGAAGGTCCCAGGTTCGATTCCGGCCCGGGGTCTTTCTGCATGGAGTTTGCGTGTTCTCCCTGAGCAATGCTCGGGTTTTCTCCAGGTACTCCAGCTTCCTCCCACAGTCCAAAAAGGTGGGTTGTTCACTTTAGGTTAATTGGCTTCTCTAAATCTTCCTTAGGTGTGAGTGTGTGCATGAATAGTTGTTTGTTTGTTTGTTCCTCTCGCCCATTGACAGCTGGAGATAGGCACCAGCACCCCTTACCAGCCCAGCTGGGATAAGCGTGATGGAAAATGTATGTAAATAGAAGTAACAGCAATTATGATAGAAATATAAAGATGCCTCAGCCTAATAGCCCAGATTATTTCGAAAGGGGAAAAAAAAATGTATTTAGGGAACAAGGTTCTGTTCGGAATTAGTAGTTGCCTTTTATACCTTTGGGCCTTTTGGCCCCTGAGGGCCTCTTGGTGCCGACAAAATAGATCCATCAGCAGCAATTGTTACACCAGGTTCTCCTTTTTCTCCCTGTCAGAAGAAAAAAAATCTATTAAAAAAGCCATATATTTATTAAATATGTATGTTCATATGTGTGTGTGATGAATGCAAAGAGAGATTGGTCATTCTGTAGCCAAACTGGCAGTGGTCATTGGAAGACCACTTGGAAATTCAAATATGTCTTCTTTTCTTAAACAATATACAGTGAACAAAGAAATTTGATGTTGCTCTGACAATAGGACTCTTCAGAGTGGACTGCAGAGGAAGCAGGCTGAATTGTAGTTACAGACTATATTTTCAATTCTGTTCCTAAATATTCTTTTAATTCAGATCAAACTGAAAAAAAGATTAATCCCAAAGGGAAATTAAATGCTGAAGTAAGTCATTAGCTTTTTTTTTTCAATGAGTGGTTGTAGATATTGATAGCTGTATGCAGGAAGGGTCGTCTTTAGTGGTCTGTCTTTCACCAGATCTGGAGAAGTCTTTGATTGAAGACACTCTGGTGTTTCACAGACTTCTGAAGAGGATGTCCATTGCTGTCAATAATGTTTTTTTATGAACAATTCTTCTTTGTGAAATCATCTCCAGAGGTTCTAGGGCAGGGGTTCTCAAGTCCAGTCCTCAGGAGCTACCATTCTTTAACTTTTAGATGCATCTCTTCTCTAACACACCTGAATTGAAAAGGCTCAATCCCCTCATTTAGCCCAGCAGAGGCACGGTAACGAGCCACTCATTTGATTCAGGTGTGTTAAAAATGGGGCGCATCATAAGGACTGGACTTGAGCATCCCTGTTCTAGAGAAATTACTAGAATAGAGCCAGCCTTCTTTATCAGCTCATTGAGCTTCTTACGTCACTTGCTCTGATGCTGTTAACCCAGCAGAAGATGGCGGGTCACGCTCTCCACAGTAGACTCATAGAAGATACACAGCATCTTGCTGCATACACTGAAGGACCCATGCTTTCTTCAGAAGTAAAGTCTGATTTATTGATGATTTCAGATGCACTGTTGGTCAATTTGGTTGTCCAGGTGAACATCAAGGTATTTTTTCACCATCACCACTTCTTTTCTGACTATATTAATATGATTCAACTTCTTCTGAAATGTGAAATCATTTCCCTTGTTTGGTTCACATTAAGGATCAGAAGATTGTTTTCACGACACGCAACAAAGTGGTTCACTAGCTCCCCGTACCGCTTATCTTCCATCTCTGATTAGCCTTATGATTGCACACATCTAAGTGTTTTCACAAAATACTCCACAAATGGATCAGAATTTCTTTTTTTTTCTGGT